AAACTGTATCTTTAGGAGACCGATTAGGTCTCAAACGCACCAAATGGTAGGTTAGTTTGGAGATCTTTTAGGTCTCCAAAGCACCAGCTGAAAGTTTTTTGAAATTGATGGCGCAGGGAACGTGTTAAGTTTGTATCTCGGAAGATAGCACCATGATTTACAAACCTTAAGAAAAATATTTTAAATTAAAATATATTAGATCTTAAGGTTTTTTACATTTTTGGTATTTTTAGTACACAGCGAAGTGTCGTTTTTATTTAATTTATAACAATGTCTTACGTAACTGATATGTAAACACGGCTAAACACTCACGTATATACGGCCGGTGGCGGCACCGACTAGTTTCGAGCCCATCGGGGGCCCTTCATCAGGATGTGTGGTACTGGTATTATTTCGCGGACGCGGCCCGTCGCTCACGTGAGCGTGAACCACTCATCCTGATGAAGAGCCCTCGATGGGCTCGAAACTAGTCGGTGCCGCCACCGGACGTATATACGTGAGTGTTTAGCCGTGTTTATATATCAGTTTAGTACAATGTCGCACGAAAGTTTGAATAATTTAATGTTTTACGAAAGTTTAAACAATTTAAAAACTTTAAATGGTATCTAATATTAGAAATGCGAAATTTTGGATGTATGTTTGTTAGAACTTATCTCCAAAACAACTTAACGGATCTCAATGAAATTCAGCACAGATGTAGAACATAGTCTGAAAGACACATAGGCTACTTATTAAGTTTTTTAATACTGCGAGGATGAAGACACGGGATTGAGCTGGTCTATATATGTAAAAGAAAGTCGTGTTAGTTACACTATTTATTACTCAAGAACGGCGTTACCGATATGGCTGAAGATTGGTGAGGAAGTAGCTTAGAGCCAGGAGACGGACATAGCATACTATTTATTCGTTTTTTTTAATTTTTATTTTCGAGTTTATGCCTTGAAGAGCTTGTTTTTTATTTAACTTACTAATATTATAAATGCGAATGTTTAGATGGATATGATGTGGATGGATGGGTGGGCTACACTAATTTTTTATATATCCACGCGGACCGAGTCGCGGGAGACAGCTAGTTTAATATAAAAATGTATTATTCACCAGCCCTGTCTTATGTCTCCAGGGATGGAAACTGTAATACTTTTTATCAATTCCACATTTGTTGGGAAGTCGCGAGATGTCTCTCGGGTGTCGTATATCGTTTTACCTTAAAAGCAGCTGATGTAAATGGATAACAGCTTTCCCTGTTTCTTTATTTATGACAGATGAATACCAAACAAAATATGACACAATATGAATCGTAACATCGAAATAATTAGAGGAAGTAGCTTAATTATTGGCGATGGAAATAAACGAAAGTAATTTAAATAACAGCAAATAATTAAAATGTTACCTTTTATCAAGTAGTTACAGCTAGGCAGTAGCCCGCGACTCCGTCCGCGCGATATTAAAAAAAGACATTCAACTAGTTAGTTACCCTGTGTCTTCTTTCAAATTATGTTTGACATCTATGCCAACTTTTTTCTATAATAAATACATTGAACCCATCTGAAGATACTTTCCATCCATCCATCCATACTTTCGCATTTATAATATTAGTACAAAATATTAATTAACAAAAAATTAACGAAAAGTTAAATAAAAATCTTTAAATAATTTAAAAAATATTTAGTAATCAAATTTAAACGATGAATAACAATATACAAATTATTTAAGTGCCTCGTCTTGAATAAAACAAGTAAGAAAAGCAATACATTTTTCAGTGAGCGACTCGATATCGCGGCGCTCAAGCCTTCGCCATTTCTAAATCTTTATTTTTGGAACGGATAAATGTTATTACTATACGAGAGGGATTTACCAGCCAATCAAAACATATTGCCAAAATATTATTCAAATGTTACATGAAATTTCACTTTATTCAATGTAAACAATTTAAGTGTTCTTTTTTAAAAGTTCATACTTTTTGAATTTCATTACGCGCCTTATTATTAATATAAGCGTCATGTTTCAAAATGTTTTGAAGAGCGAGAAAAATATCACAGGATAAAAATTGTTGCGAATATATACGAAGGAAATGTTGATGATGATTGTAATATTTTGTGTGATTGTTAGGGATGTGTTCAGTGGGCCGCGGACGAGTGCGAAAGCGGGCCCGTGGTCCCGTCCCGATGCGTTGGAGGAACAGAGGGGTTTAGTGGGTATGCCTCCGCTATAGAGGAGAAACCCACATAACTACCGCGTCCCCCCCGGGGCGCGGAGTATGCATAAAGCATTCCCCTCTGAAAAAAAAGGGATGTGTTCAGTAACATGAATATATGATTGAGTCTTATACTTCATTAGAAAAAATAAAAAAAATCTCTACAAATGATAGACATAAAAACATTTCTAACACTTCGTACTGTAATTGAGAATAAACATTTTTATTCCAAAAGCAACGTTTGTGTGTTAAATGTTGGCAATATACCGTAATGTGAAGATTTGACTGTTTATTTCCAACTGAATTAAATCCATTTTAAATCTTATTCCAACGCAATTAGGTTTATTTTCCTTTTCCTACTCTAAAATAAAGGTTTGTTTAATCAAAAAAAGATTTTTTAAAGCTAACACGTGCTAAAGTAACCAGGATTTCGGTGATTTACCTAACTTAAGTTTATTTAATATAGCTGTTGCCATCGACTTTATCCGCGCGGAATTAAAAAAAAATTATAAGCAACATATGTGTTCTTCCAGACTATGTTATATATCTATGCAAAATTTCATCGAGATTCGTTACTCTGGAGATATCTTCAAACAAACATCCATCCATACATCCAACTATATATATTCGCATTTATAATGTTAGTAAAATACACAATACTTGCTTAAATAAAGTTATTTATAATAGTAGTGAGATTTTATTACATTTTTACATTTTTTATGAGAATAATATAAGTTTTCTAACAAATAGAGCACTTCTTTTATGCAACGGATCAAGACGACAAAAGGCGAATGACTCCGACTGCACGAGCTTTGTGAAGGCGCAAGCCAATCTTCCACATGAAAGAAAAATATTCTTTTTGCGTCAGAGCAAGCTGCAGTTTCAAATTGGATAATATTTTATTATTAGATATTTCTTATCTGTGGAAAATAAGATAACAAATGCACGTCTATATTAAGATTTTAAATTTAGAATAACGAGTTGATTATCAACGCACATGGACCCATAAGAGCGTCGGTAGCTCAGGGGCTAAGCACATGATTTAGTGCAGGTCCTGGGTTCGAATCCCGCCATGTACCAAAGTGTTTTTCGATTTTCAATTTACACGTATAATCCGACGTTCTTACGGTGAAAGAAATCTCTTACGGTGACAAAAATGTCTTCTAAGATATGTGGGAAGTCAACCAACCCACACTGGGCCAGCGTGGTTGACTATGGCCTAGTTACTTCAACACCGGGTAGGCTCCGAGCGTTTTAGTGGGGACGTATAGTGAGCTGGTGATGATGATACACATGGACATCCGTACCACCAGAGACACTGCAGATTACCGGCTTTTGAATACTTCACCAATGTTTAAAATTACTTTACTAACATGAAATCTTATACAAAATTCTTGTATAACAATGTTAGTAATGATATTTTATATGCATATTGAGTACGTCTGAGAACCTGCTGCTATCTATTGTTGAACACCGCGCGTACGGAATCGTGGGCTACAACTAATAAGACTTAAAACATTTCAGCGGTTAAACTAATTTTCCATTTAACTAACTCCATAGTTTAATTTTCATACAGAGCTTTGGATAAAATGTTCATCACACTGGTCGTTGCAACAACGTCAATTGCATTTTATTTGCATTCATAACAGGATAATTTTGTATATAGGTATATATTTTTTAATTATGTTGCAAACAATGACTAATATTATTGCAAATATTATTTTCCGCGGAAAAATACTGGCAGTTAATGCTTATTATTAGCCAGCATTTTCATAAATCAATAAAAAACAATAATTTATCTGTCATTTATTTAGTTGACTTTTTTTACAATAGTATTTTTTAAAAATAAATATTGTTAAAATTATTAAAATAAATAATAATGAAACTACCGAATAAATGGAAAAATTAGCCAAAAAATCGCTGTCCACATTTTCAAGATATGGAATCACAATAGTAGTTGTTTGCGGATGTAAATCTGTTTGTAATGTCTCTATTTGAACTTTATTGGTTACGATTGTTCTATCTTTAAATGATGTTTCTAAATCATCTGTATCAGTAGTTAAAGTATTATCAAAATTCTTTAAAATCTTTGCAGAAGTAACATCTGTTTTAGTCCGCTTTGTAGTTAATTTGGGGCCGGTTGTTGTTACTCCCTTATTTATCATATTAATAATCAGTTCATCTTTCGTTGAAACCTCAGGCGAAGTAACCGTTTCTGTATATTCTGTTCCCTTTGTTCCAGCAACTGTTGAGTTCTCGGGGTCTAAATTAAAATCCCATAATGATGTTGCATAGTTTACATTTTCTGTTGTAGTTATTTCCACATCGCTCACTTCTTTTAAAGTATTAGAACCTAATTCTGTAGTCAATTCAGTATTTATAATTGCTCCCGTAGAAATACTCTCAGCAGTTTCACTAGATATTGAAGTAGTAGAAGTTGTTCGAAAGTTCGTTATTATATTACTAGTAGAGTTATCAAGGGTTTCGGGCAAAAATGTGGCAACATTTCGTTCAGTTAAAGTCTCTATTTTATTTTTTGAATTGGTAGGTGCTAATGTAAATGCATCATTTTCATCCCCTATAGTTGTTGGTACCATTGTAGTACTCTGAGTTAGAGAATTGTCCCAGTCTTTGTCATCTTGTTGTGAAGTTGTTTCTATAGTTTGTGGTTTGGTTGGAAAATCTGTTATGTACATGTCTAATGTTGTATTAGACATTATTGTTGGATAAGAATAAGGTTGCTCTTTGGTTGTCTGAATATCTTTAGTTTCTTCTGATGTAGTTGTATAAATAAATTGTGTAGTAGAATCAAGCATATTCATAGCATTATCAATCTTAGTAAATGGTGTTGTTGTTTTGTCGGATGTCTCTACTATCGGATCAGATTCCTGGGTTATCTGATCTTTAGTTTCTTCTAATGTAGTTGTATAAAGAAATTGTGTAGTAGAATCAAGCATATTCACAGTATTATCAGTCTTAGTAAATGGTGTTGTTGTTTTGTCGGATGTCTCTACTATCGGATCAGAAGATTCCTGTGTTATCTGGTCTTTAGTTTCTTCTAATGTAGTTGTATAAAGGAATTCTGTAGTAGAATCAAGCATATTCATATCATTCTCAATCTTAGTAAATGGTGTTGTTGTTTTTTTGGATGTCTCTACTATCGGATCAGAAGATTCCTGTGTTATCTGGTCTTTAGTTTCTTCTAATGTAGTTGTATAAATAAATTCTGTAGTAGAATCAAGCATATTCATAGCATTATCAATCTTAGTAAATGGTGTTGTTGTTTTGTCGGATGTCTCTACTATCGGATCAGATTCCTGGGTTATCTGGTCTTTAGTTTCTTCTAATGTAGTTGTATAAAGAAATTCTGTAGTAGAATCAAGCATATTCATAGTATTATCAATCTTAGTAAATGGTGTTGTTGTTTTGTCGGATGTCTCTACTATCGGATCAGAAGATTCCTGGGTTATCTGGTCTTTAGTTTCTTCTAATGTAGTTGTATAAAGAAATTGTGTAGTAGAATCAAGCATATTCATAGCATTATCAATCTTAGTAAATGGTGTTGTTGTTTTGTCGGATGTCTCTACTATCGGATCAGATTCCTGGGTTATCTGGTCTTTAGTTTCTTCTAATGTAGTTGTATAAAGAAATTCTGTAGTAGAATCATCGATATACAATGAACTATCGTATATTAAACATAGAGATTCGTCGTATGCTGGTGGAATATATCGAAATGAATCAATAAGAACTATAGAATCTTGTGCCGCTTTACCCATTAACAAAAGCTGAAATTAAAAAAATAATGTATATTTAGAAAACAAAATTATAAGTTTAAATGTAAAATCTAGTTAGAATCACGGGGTCTTATAGAAAAAAAACGTTTTTATTTATCGTACGAAAAAAAAATTAGTTGTGGAATTAAAGAAAAATAAGTTTAATTTTAATTAAAATATTTCTAACTGTATATTAATTTTCAAAACACTGCTACTAAACATACCAAATAATTGTTTGACTAACTCATTAGGCCGTTGGTCAGTTTTCCTCAATTTGTGATAAGATGCAATCCGACGTTTGTTTTATAACAATGTTTTATTATAACGTGTTGTAAAAAAATATGTATTAAATAAATTTGATAGTTTGTAAAGTTTCATCGTTTTTAATTAGATTTTATTTTAAAAAAATACGCCTACCACAAATGGTCGGACTAAGATGTGTTATTATACATACGCGCTAAAACAGTATTTTCTCACTGTTCCTTTGCCCTAAACTTCATTTTAGCCTTGAAAACTATACAGAAGATAATAAACATAAGCTTAATATTATTAAAATATTTAAATTTGTTTATCTATCTATATATATAAAAAACAATTGCTGTTCGTTAGTCTCGCTAAAACTCGACAACAGCTGAACGGATTTATCTTATCTTAGTCTTAAAATGTTTGCGGAGGTCTAGGGAAAGTTTAAAAGGTGAGAAAAATTCGAATAATTGCCAGGAAAATCCTTTATGAACCTTTTTTTTAAACCCGCGCGGACGGTGTCGCGGGCGGCAGCTAGTTTGTTTATAAAATTGAACATTTTAGCCATTCCACTCTGTGTTCTTTCATTTACAAAACAATGTATTTAAATAATGGAATTTTCGGCTGAATATGTTTTCATTGTAATTTTTTATATTAAAAAAAACACTTACCCGACCCATGAAGGTTCCGAAACCTGACAAAGATATTTTTACTGTCTCCCATCCTGATTTAAAATCTTTACTCCTCGGTGATATTGTCTTAGCTCCAACGATGGTATTCAACGCCTTAGCTACTTTATAAACTTTGATGGTTATGTTATCATTTCTTGATTTTGGTTGCATATACAAATTCACTTCAACAATCCCGGAAGCTGACATTGGAATTTCATATGATATACTACAACTCAGTAAATTCGTCGGTGATATAAATGTCCTACTCAATAGATGTGGACTCTCCAATGGAATCGAATTATAATTGCCCAATTTCCATTGCTTTCGACACGTTTCGAACAGAGGTGAAAAGTGACTATAAAATACTTCTTCGAAACGATAAGTAACGCAATCATCGTTGTTCACTGGTATGGTAAAACAACGAGGAAATATTAGTAATAATAAATATTTTTGATCCATTGTACACGACCACTTTGTATAACACACAGTTTAATAATAATTATAAGAGCGTGGATGGCTCTGGGGTTGAGCACTCGATTTTTAGTCTGAAGGATCTAGGTACGAATACTGCCCTGTACCAATATTTGTTGCACAGTACAGTTTTTTGATTTTCGATTTGCATATGTATATTTATAAGAACAACGGTACAGAAAAGCACCAACCTGTAAATTATCAGTGAAGAAATTCAAAGATATGTGTGAAGTCACCCTTGTTTTAGAGTAAGCTACGAATCCCACAGTTAGAAAGTTGAAAATAAAAATAAATTATCAGTTCGCTAATTTTGGATTAATCTATACAATCAGTAAAATTAAAGTGCATGTAACACAAAAAAAGATATTTTACGAACAGGACGTTTTTTTAGTTCCATACAAAATGACTTTCTGTACTTTTCGATCTCCGGTAAACCTAATTTCCTTTTTTCTGTATGTCTCCTTTGTCCGTTTAAGTTAGATAATGGATTGCGAACTTGTTAAAGATATGTTTATTGTCAGAAGTTGCGTTATATTTTAAAGAAATAGTGTCGCACGTCGTTTAGTTTCCACCTTTTATTATAATAAATTATATTCATGTACTTTTTCTTAACATTCTTTAGTGTCCGAAAAAAACATACCTGTCAGTCAGGGTAAAGATTGTTTTGGTAATTTAGTCGACAGAGTAAATAGAGTTATTTACTCTGTCGACTAATAATTTAGTCGAACTAAATTATCAATTACAATGATAAGATAATAATATATTGATAAATTTTAAATTGTTTTGTAGAGCTTCAGTGGTTTTTATCAAAAATCTACCTATAACGTGACAATTATACAAAAAATCTGGTAGTTATTGTACAACGATATAATAAGATAAAGAAATTAGTTACAATATGCCTAGGGACTCCTTTTAATAACATATTTTAGTGAATTATTCGGTTTTTTTTTTATATTTTATAATATTTTATATCGTAGATTTAAGACTATTTGTAATTATAGAAATAAGGATGTATAATATTTCTTTTCAATGCATATGCCTACTATATACTTATATTACCCTAGTTGCCGCTCGCGTCTCCGTCCACGCGGGTAAAAAAATACTTAAGTGGTAGCCTATGTGATCTTCCAGACAATGCTCTACTTATATGCCAAATTTCAGCGAGATCCATGTTGCCGTTCTTTATATACCCTATAACAAACATCCATCCATAAAACATTCGCATGGATAATATTAGTAAAATTAAAACTAAAATCTGTATAAAAATACATATAGACGAATTGATAACCTCCTTCTTTTTGAAGTCGACTAAAAATGAAAACCATTTGCTTAAAATCTTTTATCTGTTCTATTTTTGCGGATTGATGGAAAAAAATCTTAGCAATATATTGATTTTATAATGTATTTCAGTCACAACATAGTCTACTCAATTTACTTAAAGAACGTCATGAACGGAACTAAAGGAGATGTGACGTCATTTGACGTCCTTTGTTGTGTCATAAGCCGGTGCCTGTGAAATAAAGACATATCACTTTTCTCAATAGAACAAAAAACAGCGTCTCCTTTAAAGAAAATTGTGGTATAATATGTATACTACTAGCTATCGCCCACGACTCCGTCCGAGAGGAATTAAAAAAATGAATTGGTAGCTTAGATGCTCTGCCAGGCTCTGTTATGAATCTTCAGCGAGATGCAGTCGTTCTCGGATACATTCTAACAAACATCCATCCATATAAACATTCGCATTTACAATATTAGTAAGAAGTAAGACACCCAGAAACTGCTTTTGCTTAGTTTCTTCTAACAAGATATTTGCCTCATAATCTTTTTAAAATAACATGAATTATGGTTTAATAAAAATACAATGAACGTATCTCATTTTGTACTAATAATTAAATACTACTTACTTACTCCGCTGGCGCATCGACCCAAAGTGGGTCTTGGCCTCCGACACAAGAGATCGCCAAAGTCGCCTGTCTTGCGCCTTCTCCTGCCAGTCCATCGCTTGTAGCTCCCGCAGATCCAGCTCTACGGCGTCTCGCCAGCGGTACCTGGGCCGACCGATGGGTCGGCGGCAGTCGGGGTCCCGAGGTATGCTGCTTTGGCCAAAAATAATTAAAAAAATATTTTAATTATTAAATAAAGACTGTAAAATATTAGACGTTTATTTAAAGTTATTCTATTAGAAACGATTTGGTTGTCCGACGTATGAAACATGTTTCAACATGGCATAGATATATCGACTTACTTGTGGTTAAAACAATCGTAAAGAACATTATTAAAGAGTAGTTAAATAATAAAATTATGTCATTGTGAGAACAAAAGCTATTAACTATGAAATTCGTATTACTCTATGAATATAATACATTAAAAGCAACGTCACAACCCTTGTTCCAAAAGGGCCATCGTTGTCTCCAAGGAGAATGGTAACAGCATTTATACGTTCCATTTTTGTTTTGCTGTTATGTTGCGCCTCTAAGGTATCGTGTTTACTACTCCACCATAAAGAGCTGACGGAAATTGAATTTATGACTTCACTTACTCTTTTATACGTCAATATTATTCAGGGTTCTAAAAAATAAATATGCCATCCACTCTTTCTCCTATTTAGAATTGCAACTTATAACAGAAATGAAGCGCCAATAGCCTAATAGTCAAGGGTACTTTTAGACATTTTTAGTCAGAATCCTTTAGCGCGAATGGGGCGCTTTCGTTACCAAGTCAAGTGTCTGAAGAAGTAGTCAGGGGAATTAAACGTCGTCATTTTAGTACGGCTATTGTTGCATCAGTACACCGGCAGTGTCGGATTTTCTTCCTAACAGTACGGATTTCCGATCACGTGGTCGATAGTTCGAATCCCGCCATTCGACTTTGTCGTAAACCATATCCTAGCACAAGCCTAGAGCTTAGTTGGGATGGTGGAAAATCTTAAAGATTGGGGCAAATCTTAACAGAAGGTAGGAAGAGCGTTTAGAGAACATACAAATAAAATGTACTACATCTTAGAGGGTCATAAATAAAAAGTAAAGATTTGCTCTTCCATTTGCTTAGCCTAAAATTAGACTTCTTTGTGTAACAAAGTAATGACCATTGCTCATCAAATCTCAGCATTTGAAATTCGCTGTCCGATAATAAACATTTTAAACGGATTAAGATAATGTATGAAATGCAAAAAGACTTGATAATTATATGTAGTATATATTTTTATAGCATAACGTGGCAAATGAGTAAGCGGCAACATGGATTCGCCAAACTAGCGAAGCGAACGCTGCCAATAAATTTCAGGCATGGGCGTTTCCTGTCACAAATGTTCTTGCTAGCGACTACGACTGTTAAAATTCGAAACAAATGAAAGGGGGAGGATAAGGTAAAACTGACATTTTTTAGTATTCGGTGAAGGTGGATGAGTAAGTAGTTTGTTGTATGTTATGTTAAAAAAACTCTATCTGAAAGCAGTTCCAAACATCTGCGTCATTCAAAAAGTCAAGCACATTAACATCCCTTATGACTACTCGATTCCATACAACAATGTGGTCCGCATAATTCGCAAAAAGCTAAAATGTATAAAATGTTTGGAACAATAAATACTATATGTTAACCCCGAAAAAAATCAAATATTAAATTATTCAAACTTTCGTGAGACATTATACTAAACTGATATAAAAACGGCTAAACACTCACGTATATTCGTCCGGTGGCGGCACCGACTAGTGAGCGACGGGCCGCGTCCGCGGAATAAAACCAGTACCACTCATCCGGATGAAGGGCCCCCGATGGGCTCTAAACTAGTCTGCGCCGCCACCGGACGAATATACGTGAGTGTTAATAATCTAAAAAATAAATAAAATCTAAAATAAAATCCTTATAAATCCCCACTTAATAATCCAAGTTCTTTTACCACGATCTTCCAAACAGGATTTAACATTCCGATGAAAATTTTGATCCTTTATGATATTAAATCGAAACGAAAGATCTTAAATCCCTTATCATGTTTGTTAATCTATAAAAAGCAGTGTTCAGAGAAATATTACATCAACAAATGCAACGCTTGATTATGATATCAATCGAATCCTTCGCACAATAAAAATGTATATTATCATTTCCAGATTCTTGGTGCTTTATCTTATCCCAACGATATTTAATAGTACTTAATAGATACGCAAACATTTTAAATTATAAAAAATACGTAATTATTATTTACGGATACACAAAGTAGACGTGTGTAGAAATGGAAAGAATATATTTCACAGTAGTAATACTACTTTCCATCTCAATATTAGTGTTTAGTGAAGATTGTGTGGTTTATACTTTTGGAGATGATTATGATAACTTATTTTCAAATGAAAAGGGAGTTTGTCAAGGGATGCGGATGTGGCAATTAGGTTACTACTCCTCAATATCTTTGGAAAGTCCACATCCTTTGAGCAGTACGTTTATATCACCGGAATATTTATTGAGTTGTGTATCATCGTTTACATTCACAATGTCGGGTTTAGGAACTGTTGAAGTTAATCTGTATATGGATCCTGCTTCGAACAGCGATCAAATATCTATAGTTGTTCATGAAGTAGTCCCAGGATCTACTGCAACTGTTGTTGGTAATAGAGGAATATCGGCAATGGCGCCAGATTTTGAAATAGGATGGCATTCTATAAGAATTCCTCTCATCGGTTCTGGAACATTCGAAGGTTATGTAAGTATTTTTTGATTTCTGTAATCCTAATAAATCATAACGCTTTAGTACATACATACATTTCTTCCTTTATTCCCGTAGTGGGACAGACGGTGTCTAAAGTGCTTCGCCATTTTGTTCTATTCTGGGCTCTGCGCTTGGTCTCAGGGCTTCTGATTGTCGTCACGTTCACAATGCTTTAGTATTTTAATTTTATATCGAAGTAATAGTCTTAAAATCGACTCATTATATATTTAACAATGAATCGAAAAATTAAAAAAAAAAGTTTGAATGTTGCGCAGAAAAATATCTCAGTTAAACTTACATATACATGTGCTTAAAATGAATGATCTTTAAATTACAGGCTATAAGATATAGTTTATTGTGCCTATTTGATTACCGCCATTTTGGCGCTGACGGTAGCGGTTTATAGCGGTGGTGAGAATTCGAACTAATAATAAATTAACTGCCAGTAACAACAACAGATACGTTTAAGTCAGAAAGAAATAAAAGCTGTTAGTTCCAAGTTACCTAACCACTTATAATCAATGGCTTAAAATGGATTAAGTGAACACTTTTAAAACAAAAAAAAAATTACATTGTTTTTGTCCTTTTCTTTGAAGTAACCGATATCTGGAAAATTCCGTAGCATAATTATCCAATTTTGTCATAAAATTAATATAATCATAGATACGTTCTATTAAATTTATCTAAATTGTAACCTCTATAAAGATAAAAAATCATTTATGCAGCTGATATATAAACACGGCTAAACACTCACGTATATTCGTCCGGTGGCGGCACCGACTAGTTTCGAGCCCATCGGGGGCCCTTCATCAGGATGAGTGCTACTGGTATTATTTCGCGGACGCGGTCCGTCGCTCACTCTCACGTCGGTGCCGCCACCGGACGAATATACGTGAGTGTTTAGCCGTGTTTATATGTCAGTTTAGTATAATGTCTCACGAAAGTTTGAATAATTTAATACATGCAGCTGTTTTTCTATATTTATATGAAAAATAATACTTATTTATTTCATAATATTATTTGGTTTCAAACGAAACTTTTTGGTACAGCCACTGCGCATTAAAAAGAACATACTGTATACCTAGTAAATGAAAGGATAAGTATTAATTTTTGAGTAGGAAAAAATAGACTAATCATATCTTATCATTTGGACAAATAGAATTAGAGGTTTTATAAGGAAAATATATTAGATAGACAAGCAATGTCGTACTGATACACGTAGAATGTATCTATCTGCTACTATCCTATTAATCTTACTAATATTATAAATGCGAATGCGGATGTTCAGTGGCTCAGGGGTCAAGCACTTGACTTGCAATCTGCAGATCCTAGGTTCGAATCCAGCCATGTACCAATGTGTTTTTCGATTTCCGATTAACATATGTACATTTATCCGACGTTCTTACGTTGAAGGAAAACATCGTGGTGCAACCTGCACATATCTGAGAAATTCAAATATATGTGTGAAGTCAACCAACCCGCATTTGGCCAGCGTTGACTATGGCCTAATCACCCTTAAATTAGTGTAGGCTCCGAGCCCCTTTGTGGGGACGTATAGTGAGCTGATGATGATGAGATGGATGTTTGTTAGAAGGTATAACCTGAACCGCTGCATTTATCTCGCTGAACTTTGATATATGTAGAACAAAGTTTGGAAGAACACATAAGCTACTAATTAAGTTTGTTTTAAATACTCACAGTAGTAGTACTTTTGATAAAGCACGAATTCTCGATCCATCCAAGGACTTTTGACTTAAGTTAAACATATTTTAGTTCAAATAAAGAAGGCTGAATAGTACAAGTATCTTATTTGAGTTGATTATTTAAAACCAAAAACAAGCATGCATTGTAATCATAATACTTAATGCATCAGGAAATAGATAACAGTAAAAATAATAAAACGGTATTTTCCTAATAACCATAAATTCCCGAAATGATGGAATTTACAACAAAAACGGTAAATCCCAAAATTTGTTATATTTTATTTATTCTTTCGTTAATCTTATATATAAAATTCTCGTGTCACAATTTTCGTACTCATACTCCTCCGAAACGGCTTGACCGATTCTCATGAAATTTTGTGAGCATATTGAGTAGGTCTGACAATCGGCCAACATCTATTTTAAATCCCGCGCGGACGGAGTCGCGGGCGACAGCATAGTATATGATATAATGATAATTTATTTTGCCTGTTTGTTCCCTTTATTTTATACCTTTCATAATTGCAATTATTATAATACGGATTTTAGCGGGAATAAAACGTCAATGCAATTCTGTTATACAGAGGAATACAGTGCACATAATTTTAAAATAAATTTTGTCGATGATATTACGAAAACGTTCACACAAGTGTTCGTGATAGGAAGTCTGATGTCATAGGAAGGCAACTATCATTGTAGGAAAATTATTACTTCAACGCAAACTTCATTTTGCTTTGAACTATAATCATCTATTAAATTTCAAAAACTGGGAATAACAGAAGTTTTCCGCTACCAACACATTTGTATAAAAATAAATTGGCATCGTTCATGAGAGAGTATTCCTGTTTTTTTTAGTAGATCATTGTATAAAAAAAAACAAATATAATAATGCGATAAAAAATAATAAATTCCGAAAAAAGTAAACTGTTTGGTCACCATATTTTGTCACACAATAGTGACGTTGCAAACAAGAATTCTTGATAAATTAGTCATTAATTAGATATGCCTCCAATACTCGGAAGCAAATATCGAAATTGATAATTTCAAATCCCTTAAGCCTTTTAACGCCAGAAAGCTATTTATTGAATTCCAATATGACATGTTTATGACAGCAAAACAAACTATGCATCCGGTTAAAAATATAAGAACTATCACATGACGTACAATCGTCAGCGCGTAATTAAAAAAGTAATCGATAAAAGTCACGTTTGTATTAGCTATTATCCCGTTAAATTCACATTAAAATCGGTTCGGTCCTTTTGGAGATTTATGGAACAAATGCTACTTTTTGGACATACTAGTCAGACAGAAAAAATGAAAAAATGGTTTTTCGTTATGAGTAATGCAAATACATCCTGTATACGAATTACTTTTTGTTCGCTATTACATATAGACACATAGATTTAGATAATAGAAGATAATAATTGTATTAAGTAGTAATAATATTTAAAATAAAAAAAATATTATTTTGACTATTAATTAGGTTGTTATTGACATTATTAACATTTTCATTGAAGAGTTTGAAAAAGTGGGGATTATCTAATAGACACTTATATAAAGTAGAGCGAAAAAACATAGATACGATTTGAACAACACTTATAGTCTATCTACTAAGTTGAGGAACTTCTACAAAACAATAATAGTTCAGAAAAATTTAATCAGTAAAAAGCAATTAACGATGTATTTTTTCAATTCCAGGTGTCTCTTATGGGTATGGCAGCGAGCGGATCTGTTGTTCTCATTGATTCATTCCGCTATATTCCACCATCATACGATGAAGAACTATGTGTATTATACACAGAATCTAATGATACCACATCGTTTACTGAAACCGATATTCCTACGACAACAATTTATACAACCATTTATGATACAACGACAGAGTTTTATGATTCCACTACATTAGAACAATCAACGGAATATCAGACAACAACTGAAGAACCATTTGATACTATTTCAACAACAGAAGATACGTATCCAACAGATTTTCCATCTTCTAGTTCTATACAGACTGAAGAAACGGAATTTCCATCGTCAACATTACAACCAGAAATAAGTACAGAAATTTCTACACAGCAAAGTGATACAGATTGGGATAGTACAACGCCAGTACTGGAGAGTACAACAATGGTATCGACGACCTATGAGCCAACAAACACAGAGCAAGAAACCGATGTAACAACACCATGGTCAGTAACTACAGACTCAGATACTACATTAGATTCTTCCAGTGAAGCAGATACTTCTACGACCGAAACTCCTGAAGATTACTTCACTGGATCAACCACTACAGATATGACAACGGAATTTGAAACAACTCATACTGAAATCTCTACACCTGACACGACCAATGAAATCTTAATTACTGAAACTACTACAGTAGATACTGAAACTACAGAATTTGTCACTGAATCGGTTTCAACAACAGAATTCGATGATACTACTACACCAATATTTATTACTGAATCAACGCCACAATGGGATCTTACAACTAACACTGAATATTCAACAATTATTACAACGGAAGCAACGGAAATTACTTATACTGACACCACAACAGAATCATCAACTTCGTACACAGATAATATTGAAACAGACGTAACATTTTATACCACAGATCCTACAGAATTTACAACTCAAGAAGAAGAAAACAATACAACTTATATTACTGAAATATATAATACTACAATTCCCGAAATTACAACAGTTGATGATACTACAACAGAAATTACCACACAATCTGATCTCTATACAGGAACTGAGGAATCTTTAATCAGTACAACGGATTCACAGTACACAGACACCGATACCACAACTGACATAACATCTTACACAACAGATCACGAAGAATCAACTTTAGTCACATCGAACAATACTGATTATACACAGACTGATTCAACTTCATATGAAACTACGGATACCACACTGATAACAACTCAGGAAGATGAAAGTTCAGGAACAACAACTTCGATGGATAACGAGTCAACTACACAAACAGTTACAAACACCGACTCGTATACAGAACAGACTGAAATAGATCATGTAACTTTTACCCAAACTCCTGATGAAATTGACACAACTACGTTATCACCAGAGTTAGAAGCAACTGAAGATGGAATAACCACACCTGAATCTCAAGAAACAAGTTCCCAAACAGATTCAGATCAAGGAACCACTACAATTGTGACCCCTACTGTAATTCCTGACAACGATAATTCCAACTCCAGCTTTTGGACTGCGTTAACTATATCAATGTTAGTATTATTAATAATTATTTTATTAATTGTAACAGCAGCATTCTTCTACATATTAGGAAAGAGAAAAGCGAATCAGGCAACACCACAATTTGTTTTTGCTGATTACGAAGACCTTCCGAAGACAATTACAGTTCCTCGTGTGACGAAAATTCTTGTAGAACCTAATAACTTTAAGAAAACTATTCTAGTATAATTTAATGTTATATATAGTGCAAATAACGTATCTGGTCTGAGGACAGGCACAGCTATATATGTAAGACAAGGCATAAAGTGTGACATAATTTAATTTACTTACACCGGGTCAGATAACTTTATCAGTCTATAACAGTAATTTAAATGTTAGTATTAAAATTGTAAATATATTCAAAATACTGTCATTTTGTGCACGCAAGAAGTTTCATTAAAACCATTAAAGATTTTTACTTTTATAAAAATAATGAAATATAATTAAAAAAAATTGTTTCATAATTAATATCACTAATGTTTTTCTCAGACAATTTTTAATTAGTACTTTGATGTTACTGCATTTTAAAAAATAACATCTGATTAAACCTGTTTTCTTTCGTATTTAGTTATGTTTTCAATATAAAGTGTTTAAATTTTAATATAAGCTCGAATATTTATATTTAATGTTTTTTTGTATTTCATAAGTAGCAATAAACATTTTAATACTGACACTAAGTTTCATTTTACCAAAAAGTATTGTATATTAGTAATAACTAAAAACTATCTTTACTTGAATTATCATGTAAATAAAGTTATGAATTTAGTGCTAAACATATATTAATACAACGCTATTATATTTACTACATTAACAACTACTAGGAAAGGCAATTAAGTAAGAAATTTGTACCGACATACAGAAATAAAGAATAACAAAATAAAATGCTCTGAAGAATTGCTTGGAACGATTCCTGCAGCCGAGTTGCGTCCACACCAACTCGATGGCTGGCAATCTACAACCGTGCGGTTTGCGCGTAACTTCCTGCCTCGTGCAGCAGCGTTGTGGAATGGTCTGTCCTCGGCGGTATTTCCAAACCGCTACGACTTGGGGTCCTTCAAGAAGCGAGCGTACCAGCATCTCAAAGGCCGGCAACGCATCTGCGGTTCATCTGGTATTGCTGATGTCCATGGGCGTCGTTGAACACCTCGGTGGTCACGCTGCCCGTTTGCCCCTTCTGTTATAAAAAAAAGTATAAAAGTGCTCGAACACAGAAATTTATTATTATTATTTATTCGTAGGCGCTACGACTATTTTTAATGTCAACGCCTATGAAATAATAATAGCAACGAACAAATATCAAGCGTAAAATTAATACATGCCAGCATGTGCTATATAAAATTTAGAAGGCAATTTGTTAAGTTGTCAGTAAGATAAGTCGAGTAAATTATAATAAGTAATTTCACAATATCTGTATTAAAAATTGTCAGTATTGTATATTAGGATGAATATGTCAGCAGAGGACCTCTTGTAAAAGGTCTTTCCTGTAATTATTTATTATTTAACAGTGGTAGACGCTCTCTTTCTTTTTCCATTAAAGGTAGGCAACGCATCTGCAATTGTGAATGTATGTAGGCAGGTTTGACATTTTCATTTCGGCGTAGTCAGGTAGCCGCTTGCTCGTTTCCTTATAATATAAAAAAAAAACATTTATAATGTACTTCTCATAATCAACATGCAAAGTTTTAAGCCAATTTTTAATAACAATACTAATTAATTGGTAAATACTTAATGAATCTGTAAATAAGTTTGGTTTAGAACTGTGGATAAACCTTTAAGTATTACATTTAATAGGTATTTTCCCAATCTAACTGTTGCTTTCTCAGACCAAAATCTCTGTATGAAACATATCGTCATCTCTGTCATTATCTTTGTCAAATAAGAAAGAAAGAAAAGTTTTTATTATAGGTAATACAGATTAAACCAAGAAACAATAACTAACATAATAAAATTTGCACATAACTAAGAAGTTAAATTAGACTTAAGTTACCATTTATGGTTAATTTGGATAATCTAGTAATAATAGATTTATCAATAAATTTAAACCATGTTTTAGGTCTAAGAAACCCACGGTAACTTATCCAATTAATTAATATGTGTCTTTATTTAACGCGTGGAAGGAAGCATTAGAAAAATCAAATATAAACATCATGATTCTAATCATGATTAAATCAATCCTTTGTAATAAACCGCCAAAATGCCGCCGCAATACGAGATAATTGATGATCGATCAAATTCTCACACCGATAATGTTATCAACATCATTATGAATCGCTGATAATTTTATCAAATCTAAAACTATTCCCTTTACGCTTGACCGTCTTTTAAATGTTACTAACTAATTTACAATACATAAGTGGACATGTCAATACATATGTAAAGTACATTTAGAAATATTTAAAACATTTAAACAATTATGAATTATTTAACATAAATAGTGAATTATATATTGTGGATAGTATTTTAAACAATACAGATTACAAGCGCGACAATGTGAATTATTTTGAATTAGAAAATTATCAAACTAATGATAATGCTATGAACAAATACATTGATTGTCGTTAAGCTTTAATAGTAGATTTAGTATAAATCACAACAATCAGTGCTGTTGATACTGTTTTAAATATCGAAATGATAAGTTTGAAGTGCGTGGTTTTGATTTTGGTGTACAGTTCGGTTGTGTTTTGTGACGAATGCGTATCATATAATTTTGAAGAAGATTTCGAAGATCTTTTCACCAGTAATGAAGGTGTGTGTACAGATATGAGGACATGGAATATTGGTGACTACAGATCTCTAGCAATAGATAGTCCACATCCAAGTAGTAGCCAATGTATACTTCCATCTGATCAACTAAGTTGTGTCTCATCGTTTAGATTTACTATGACATCTGGAGGAAGAGTAGAAGCAAATGTCTACATGGTGTCATTTTCACCAGTGGATCAGGTATCTTTTGTCGTCAATGAAATAGTGCCGGGTGGAAACGATGCTGCTGTTGGCACTATAGTGCTATCCTCAATGGATCCTAATTTTGTAAACGGATGGCACGTCTTACGAGTCACATTAACTGGACGAGGAACATACAACGCTTTTGTAAGTAAATGTTAAATATCGATATTAGTTTTTGATATTCTAAATAATTTATTGAAAACATCAATCTTAATTAGAAAAAACCTAAGCCGATAAAGTTTGTTAATTACCCTATTATAGATGTGTTAGTACATACTACCATTTGTAGAGAATAGAATAGTATGATGATAATGTTCCAAATACTGTTTAATTTGTATGTTTGTCCTATTAATTAATAAACACAAATAAAACGATTCAATATTTATTGTTGCAGATAACATTTTTAGGATTATCGGGACCTTTTTCTACAGTTCTTATTGATTCGTTTCGGTACATACCACCACTAGTAGACCCAGAAGAATGTACCATATACGAAAATGTTACAACAACCACGCAAGGAACTGAAACTACAATAACGTTGGAAAATACCGAATCGACTACAGAAGAAATCACAAGCACAACGTTGACAGAAGTCACGAATACGGACCAAAGTACAACGTCAGTATTGGATACGGAATCAACAATGGAAACTAATTTCGATATGACAAGTTCAACTCCAATAGTGGAAACTGATGGTACAACTACCTTTATAACAGAAGAATCAACTGAAGAAAGTACCTTTGATCCAACAGACATAACTGTATCACAATCGATATTTGATACGGAATCCACAACCCTTACTTGGACATTTCCTGATAGTACAACTACTGAAATTGTTACAGACGTAGAAAGTACAACAACCGATTTGTCTACAACAGAAAGCACGATACCGACTGAGCTAACAACATCGCAATCTGTTTTAGATACTGACTCAACAACTGAAACCTCAATTTTCTCTGACAGTACGAGTGATATGTTCACTGATGTAGAAAGTACAACACCAGATGTATTAACAACAGAAAGCACAATACAGTCTGAGCTAACAACGTCGCAATCGGTGTTAGATACCGACTCAACAACTGCAAGTTCGATATTCTCAGACAGCACAACGAGTTATACGGTAACTGATGTAGAGAGTACAACACCCGAGTTGTATACAACAGAAAGTATAATACAGACTGAACAAACAACATCGCAATCTGTTTTAGCTACCGATTCAACAACTGAAACTTCAATATTTTCCGACAGTACGACTCCCGGTATAGTAACAGACATGGAAAGTACAACAATACCAGATGTATCAACAACAGAAAGCACAATCACGTCTGAGCTAACAACATCGCAATCTGTTTTAGACTCCGACTCAACAACTGAAACTTCAATTTTCTCTGACAGTACTGCTACTGACATAACTGATGTAGAAAGTACAACCGAGTTGTCTACAACAGGAAGAACAATACCGACCGAGCTAACAACATCACAGTCGGTTTTAGACACCGACTCAACAAGTGAAACTTCAATTTTCTCCGACAGTACGACTCCCGGTATCGTAACAGACGCGGAAAGTACAACAATACCAGATGTATCAACGACAGAAAGCACAATCACGTCTGAGCTAACAACATCGCAATCTGTTTTAGACACCGACTCAACAACTGAAACTTCAATTTACTCCGACAGTACGACGAATAATATGCCAACTGACGTTGAAAGTACAACACCCGAGTTGCCTACAACAGAAAGTACAATACCGACAGAGCTAACAACATCGCAATTTGTTATAGATACCGACTCAACAACTGAAACTTCAATATTTTCCGATAGTACGACTCCCAGTATAGTAACAGACGTGGAAAGTACGATGCCAGACGTATCAACAACAGAAAGCACAATACAGTCTGAACAAACAACTTCTCAATCAATTATAGATACCGACTCAACAACTACAACTTCAGTTCTCACTGACAGTACGACGGGCGATATGATAACTGATGTAGAAAGTACAACACCAGATGTATCAACAACAGAAAGCACAATACAGTCCGAGCTACCAACGTCGCAATCGGTGTCAGATACCGACACAACAACTGTAACCTCAATTTTCTCAGACAGCACAACGAGTGATACGGTAACCGATGTAGAAAGTACAACACCCGAGTTATCTACAACAGAAAGCTCGATACCAACTGAACAAACAACATCGCAATCTGTTTTAGATACTGACTCAACAACTGCAACTTCAATTTTCTCAGACAGCACAACGAGTGATACGGTAATCGATGTAGAAAATACAACACCAGACGTATCTACAATACAGAGTACAATACAGTCTGAGCTAACAACATCGCAAATAACAAATGATACCGACTCAACAACTGCAAGTTCGATTTATTCTGACAGCACAACTGACATAGTGACTACAACGCAGAGCATATCAGATACAGACAGTACAACTAATAATGACGCATCTGGTACTTTTTCTACAGATGCTTCGTCAACACAAACTGAGGAAAATTCATCAGAATTTTGGAGCACAAGTGAAGTACCAACAACTTTAGACATATCTAATACTGGGACAACTGATGATAATAAAAATACAGCTTCTACAACTGAATATACCGACAACTCAAGTACAATATTTACAGAATCCGAAACAACTATTACGCAAACAGTTACAAATACTGAATCAGAAAATAATAGTGTTTCTACTACTTTAGGAAATACAAATGAAATGACGATGACACCTCAAGATTTAACAAACACTCCTACCGTATTCGAAAATACATCCCAAACACAAACAGAACCATCGGCGACTACTGTAGAGGTTACCGTATCGGAAAGTACTACATCTTCATTCGATTTAACGACAAATGAATACGACAAGAGTACAATTACAGTATCTGAAAGTACGAATCAACATGATACCACAACTGAAAGAGATACAGAAAACATTGATAATTCTAAAAGCTTCTGGACTCCTCTAACAATAGTTTTATTAACACTTCTCATAATCTTGTTACTGGTTTTGTTCTCCGCTTGCTTTTACATTATCGGCTTGAGAAGACAGAGAAGAAAGTTCTCGACAGACTTTGAATCTTTTACTGACTATGAGGATTTACCACGTCCTATTGTTTTGCCTCGGGCGAGAAGCCCACATGGTGATTACAGTACTAGGAGCACGCCATAGGATTTTTAATACTAATTTATTTATTTTTCTCGATTTTTTTGAATTAAATGTTCAAATTAGATTATAAAAAAAAACTTAATGTATTACTCCAAAAAATACAGTTATAGTTAAATACGCGTTTTAACCCTTTGACCGCCGGTAATTGATATGGAAGTCAACGTGGTTATCAAAGAGTATTTTTAGTCTTATTTATTTGATACGACAACTGCTTTTGGTACAAGTATTTTGTTATTTATTTGACAAGATCGCATTTCAGAAATATAATCATGATTCCTCTAAGATTTCTGGTAACGTCTATTTTTTTACAATTGAGAAAAGGATTGACATGTTATGTAATTTTGAAACACTTTCTAAGTTTTGTTTTTTATTTTAGTTTAGGTCTTTATAGTTTTTTGTGAAGTCTGGTAGTGATATTAATAATTTATTTAATTTGTTCTTTTATTATTTAGTTGAATTTGATAATGTTTATTTGTTGTATGTAATAGCTATATTTGTAATGTACAGATGTTAATACTAGACGTAGGTTTCCATTGACGTAGCATATATAATTACATGTCGTTATTTTAGAAAATTTGGCCAGCATGGTTGACTAGGGCCTAATCACCCTTAACTTCGAGTAGTCTCCGAGCTTCTCGGTAGGGACGTGTAGTGAGCTGATGATGATGATGATGATTTCAGAAAATGAATGAAACTATGACGATATGTTTTTGTCATCTTAATTAATAAAAAACTTATTTATATTGTAAAATTGATGGACAATTTTTATAAGTTTTATTTAAAAATAATTTGTGCTAAGACCCAAACCGTATCGTGTCATATAACTAAAATCTAATTTTACCGTGTCAAAGTTCCTCCCAAACTCCGCCTATTACGAATTCGAAATTAATTTATTACTCATCACTATTGTAATATAATATCACAAATATGCTATAATAAACCTTACATAATGTATGTTTGTTTTTAATAATCAAAACAAATCAAATCTAACAATATAAAATGAATATTTAACTACAAATAGCCGACATTCCTACGTCTAGTTTACTTCATTTAAATAGTCAATTTGTTTATCTTAGTTATATACTACTCTTATCACTATATCTAAAATAGTTTTAAATGTCTATCTATTGAAGCATATTGAACCCAATGTAACTCAGAATTGGGTATAATTTCAAATAACATGTTATATGAGATATTAATGAATAACATTTTTTTTCTAATTGTTTTTCTAAGCATTGATAGTTTATCATAGTAAATGTATCACACGTAGGATTTTACGTATTTCAGGTAATTAATAAATAGGTAGACTTAATACAATCTTTCACAGATTTCTTTTTAATATTTAAACTTCTCGATTCCCTGAAAATGTAAAATAGTTTACTGACCACTAAAGGAGCATGTCCTACAAAGGCATCGCGAACATCTAGAGGTTGTTTTCTATTTACTTTTTAATAAGGTGTTAATCATTCAAACTTTCTTGAGACATTATAATAAACTTATATTAAAACAGCTAAACACTCACGTATATTCGTCCGGTGGCGGCACCGACTAATTTCGAGCCCATCCGGGGCCCTTCATCGTGTGAGCGACGGGCCGCGTCCGCACAATAATACCAGTCCCACTCACCCTGATCAAGGGTCCCGATGGGCTCGACACTAGTCGGTGCCGTTACCCGACGAATATACGTGAGTGTTTAGCCGTTTTTAAACAAGTTTATTAAGATGTTAATCAAGTTAATTACATTATTGTGGATATATTTGTAAAATAATTGGTCTTAAATATATTCTAAATTGTTGAAAACATGTAATTTTTATTATAATTCTATTTCTAGTACAACTTGTGCAATATTATCGCTCGCTTATCATTCTTAAATTAGCGCCTAAAAATGATGTACTTACTTTTTTATTGCTCGGTATCGGTAGGAGTTTAGTATTCAGATTAGAAAGTGACTGATATGGTCGAACTATGATACAATTCGTAGAAATTTTTATTATAATATAACCCATACTTAGCGTAGAAAAAATAATTATTATATAAACTTAATATTCAGGATTAGGCCGCGGCACAGGATTTGGAATGAGTGGGGCAGCGACGCGGACAGAAACAGTGGGAGCGGAGTAATATTGTAACCAATATTGAAGTTTAAAAAGCCGTTTGATTAGACTTGAAAACTAAATTAAGTCAAAATTTTAAAAAGTTAATGTTATGTTTTTTGTAACCTTAAGAAGAAAACCTTGTTGATCCTACTGTTTTGGTTTTGTAGAAACTTTGGATGATTTTTATCCATTAAAGTTGACTATGACCTAATCACCCCTAACTTAGGGTAGGCTCCAAGCCCCTCGGTGGGGACGTATAGTGAGCTCATGATGTTGATTGTTTCCTTTTGTTACTATGCGTACTAACAAACAAAGTGTCATAACTGCAACAAAGAATTATTTGATAAACATAATTTGATAATCAAAAAATTATCATTTAATCGAATGATCGTAATCTTTATATCCTGATTATAATCAATTGATAAAAGGGGCCAAAAAAGGGGCCAAATTTTTAAATATATCGAATTGTAACACCAATTTATTGGTGTCGAAACACTAGTGTTACGTTTAGGCTATTAAGAACTAGTAGTCATTTGGAAGGTCATATTTCTTAATCAAATATACTTTTATTATTTAAAAAAAAATGCTATAAGCACTTCTTTCCCACATTAACTTTAAATGTGTCTTTCACTTTAACTAGTTTAAGCATTTTTTTTAAACAGATTTAAAATGGGTACAAAGTTTTCGTAATAATATTTGGATATTTGTTTTAACAATTTCTTACCAGTATACAAATAGGAGCTACAAAACTAATGTAACTAGATATTATATTATATAGAAAAGCGTTAGTTAAAAGTGATTTAAAACTCTTTTTTTTATATCTACAAAGAAAACAATTATGTGTTATTCAGTTAAGATTTGTATTTTAACTTAAAATGTATGGTTATTGTTAATAAAAGTTTAACTAAACATAATTTGCGTTTTCATCCAAATTCCCTATTTTTTTAAGAGTCGCATTGAATAAAATTAAACCCAGTAATAACCCCCATCACAGTGAATACAAATCTGCGACAAAAAAAATAGCAATTATTCACATGATTATAAATGCTATTTAATATTGAATGACATTAATAAAAACAAGAAACAAAGAGCAAGTAATGCAATTCTTTCATATGAAATATTGCGTTAACGATTTTATAAGTATAGTTCCAAAAGGATTTAGTGGTAGTCGGAAAATATATGATCCTACAATTTCATCTTGACAGCGTCCTACTTTGAACAATGCGGGAGCGGTGGGTGCAATTACACCATTTCACCGTTTCATAATTTCGAAATTACGTGAATATCGCGTATGAATCTTTGATAATTGCTAATATTTTTGACTGTATTTAAAATGTAAGGAATTACTACGAGAACGAAGGTCACTATTTGCGTAGAGTTGAAATATGGAAGACTTTTAGAAGAAGCCAAGAAAATTTTGCTTACTGGTAACTCTTAAAACTTTTAAGCGCCCCCTGCCAATGTCAAAAACCTTGCTATAAGATCCTTGTGGAACTATAACAAATTGAGAATATGTTTAGTTTTATATTTGCTATTCAAATGTATCAGGAGTCGAATTCAAGACACTTGGGCCACTCATATGCTATTTAACTAACATGAAGTCTGTTATCAATATCCTTGTTCAATTTAGGACATCCTTTATATCATATTTTTAAATACCATATTAACAGTAGTACTGTTTGATATGTTATCATTTTTAAGAACTATTTCATGTCAGTGCATATCAAATGCATCAAGTTTCAGTCTTCCAAATGATACAAGGAAAACTTTTACAATATCCAAATTATGTAAATTTAATTGATAAGTATTATTACATATAATTATTCAATATTATGCCGTTCTTTAGTAAAATATGGAGAGAAAAAGAAGTTAAGAGTAATGCACAACATTATGCAACAGGATTTCAATTTAACAACTTGAACAAAATCAATTAAACTATGGCATCCTGATCTGTCATCAAAGACTAATTTTAAGACTAGTTGTCGCCGGCGGCACTGGCCGTGAGGAATTAAAAAAACTTGTATTACTAACTTATAAAATATATGTGTCAACGTGTTCTTCTTTTCTATGTTCTACAACTATGCCGAATTTCAGCTAGATCCATACAGCCAATCAGGAGATACCTTCTAACAAACATCCATCCGAACATTCGCATTTATAATATTAGTAAGAATAAGATATCAATTACCTAACTTGTAACTATTTAGCTATTTCTATCTATCTATAGATGTAATCTATATCTATAGATGTAATCTACATCTATAGATAGATAGATGTATTCTATTTTTGAATAAAATTATATTCAAAGTAACAAAAATAGACTAGAATACGAGTTCATTAATGTATAACAAATTAATAAAAATTAATTGTTACAATTCTTCAGATAAGATTTCAATTATGTATTAACATGTCCTGTAATTACTACGATTTTTTTTCCATTGAACATCAACGGATATATATTAAATGTGTTATACTTGTGATACCTTTTGATTGACTTAGTATTTATCGTGACTTCATTGACGATACTAGAAAATAATGTCATGTTGGGGCTTACGTTTATCGGAGTCATCTTCTCCGTTGTTTACTCTCAGGATTTGATCGGTGTGAACTATTCCTTTGACGTTGACTTCGAAAGGATCTTTAATAAGAAATTCTGTAATATACATGATAATTGGAATCTAATGGAATACGCTGATTTGAGTATCTCTTCACCAGATAATTATCAGAAAGGTATTAGATCGAGGAAAGAAAGTTGTACCACATCTTTTCCTATTGTGTTATTCGATAGTAGCGTATTGGAATTTAACGTATATCTTGATGTTGCTGAAGAAAGTGGATTAAAAATTAATGTTTTTGATGATAATGGTAAATCAGAAGTATCTTATTGGTATAATAAAAGCAATAACAATTACAAACGTGGATGGAGTACAATTTCTATTGCCATAAATACAAATTTAACAGGATATGTAAGTATAGCAAATATATTAATTATTTGTACTAGAAAATATAACAGTGGTAGAGCCCATTTTAACATCTCACGAATTGGACGATTCGTCCGGTGAAATACCATGACCACAAAGAAGACAGGCGTGAAGTGGAAGCAAATCCGCGTCTTGTCTAAAGAGAAGTCCCAGAAGCCTAATTTTAGTCCTTATTCCCTTCCCAACCTTTTTCTTATAAGGAAAAGATGAGAAGTGGAAGTGGATTTTCTGGATGACAGGATGCATACAAGGGCAAAATGTACTCTTTCTTTGCATCCCTTTCTTCATTGATTAAAGGTAGGCAAAGCATATGCAAATGCGTATGTATATGGGCAATGGTCGCTTCGCTATTTCAGCGATTTCAGGTGGCCGCCCCCTTATTTGCCACATTATGATATAAAAAAAAAACTTTCTTTCTTTTGTATTATCTAATTTTCTTTCTTTTCTTTTGTATTACAGATTAATCTTATTGGCTACAGCCAGGACCATGAAATTGTGATTGTGGATTCTTTCCAATACATTACAAAGCCTAATGTAAATAGCCGAATAAAAGACGATATTTTAAGTGATAAGATTTATGAAACAGATGGTTTACTGGAAAATATCCATGAAGAAATAGATTTGTTATTTGATCATGAAGGCAGTGGTGATGAAGGTTCTGGTGAAGAATACGATTTACATCTAGGAGAATTTGAAGATGATGATCTTGATGAAAAGGGCGTAACTAAAATAGAAGAATGACGTAAACTATCCAATGAAAGGATTTATTTTTAAAATGACTGAACTGAGAAAAGACTTTTTGAAAGATACAATAACGAAGTAAATTTTTGAACAATAAATGCCTTAAAAAGTTGCAGTATTTTTTATCGTTATTTTCGTGGCCAGTGTTAACAATTGTAAATTAGAAGTTTTTAGATTTGATTTTGAATTTTATATTTAAATGGTTGCTAATTATAATCTTACCTATATTTAAATGCAAATGCTTAGGCGGATGAGTGTTTGTTTGAAGGTATCTCTAAAAGGGTTGTACGGATCTCGATGACATTTGCCATAGATCTAGAACATGGTCTGGAAGAACACATAGGTTACTTATTAAGTTTGTTTTTGATACCGCACGGACGGAGTCGCGTGCGACAGCTAGTTGAATATAAGTTTATCGTCTTTGTGTAACCGTGTGCACAAGCTATATCTTTGACATTCATCATTCATATCGATTCAAATATTACACAAAAAATGCATCAATTGTGGTTGTCACACTGATATTGATATCTCAGATCTTGTTACATTTACTGATTAGATTTAAACTTGCATTATAATTAAACAAAGACCCACAAAGTCTAGATACAATTTTATTATAGTCATAAATATGCATTACACATATTTCTAATCTTGCAGTAATATATTTTGTGTTGCAAAGGATTGTCATTTGTACCACGTCTTAGTTACATTTGAGAACATGAGGAAATGTTACATTTATTTGCGTTGACGACAATAATCTCATCAGTGGTATCACAAGAAATTTTAGGTGTCAATTATACCTTTGACGATGATTTTAATTATTATTTCGATAATAAATCATGTCACGGTGATAGAAAATGGCATTTGATAGAATATCAAACATTAAATATATTCACTGGAAACATACAAAGTAACAATGGAATTATCGCGAAGAATAATAGCTGTGTGTCATCTTTTCCAATTGTTTTCTTTTTAAATAGTGTTGTAGAAGTAAATGTTTATGTTCGATTAAGTCTATTAATGAGTGGCTTAAGTGTGATAGTTTATGATGAATTGGATACTCCTGTCGTTATCCATGGATATAATAAATCCAGTGAAAACTACACTCCAGGATGGAACACGATGTATATTGCAATCAACAGAAACATCAATGGATATGTAAGATTGAATTGCTTATTGCTATTTTGTAATCCACAGATTATCATCATCATCAGCTCACTATACGTCCCCATCGAGGGGCTCGGAGCGTACCCTAAGTTAAGGGTGATTAGGCCATAGTCAACCACGCTGGCCAAGTGCGGGTTGGTTGACTTCACACATATCTTTGAATTTCTTCTCAGATATGTACAGGTTGCATCACGATGTTTTCCTTCACCGTAAGAACGTCGGATAAATATACATATGTATATCGGAAATCGAAAAACACATTGGTACATGGCGGGATTCGAACCCAGGACCTGCAGATTGCAAGTCAAGTGCTTGACCACTGAGCCACCGACGCTCATCGCCACATGTATATGTATGTTCAATTAAAATTAGTTTAACCTTGAACATTACTGAAAAGAAATGGAACTGTGGTAATTCCCATTTTTTAAGAAAAAATTTTAGCTCTGTGTAACCAAAAATTTTTAATTCTTTCAGATAAATCTTCAAGGACGTATTACAGACAATGAAATTATTATAATTGATTCATTCAACCATGTTGTTAAAACTGAACATCATGAAGAAGTTCAATGGAAGAGTACAATTGACAAATCTGAATCTCTACTTTTAGAAAATTTACAATTACCAAGAGATATTATAGATGATTATTGGATAGATGGATCAAATGACGATATAAATAATGAAAATGGATCTGGAGACAATGAGGGATCAGGAGATAATATTGACGATGTAAATTCTACAACACCTTCCGATATCACCGATGTCCCAGATACACCAGCTTTTCAATTCTGGAATCTTTGGACGATTATATTAGTTGCTGTGGGTTCATTAATCTTAGTTACAATTTTGATCGTAATTGCTTATTTTATTGGTAAAAGGCGAGGTGAAGATGATAATACTGCTATGATAGAAAGCTTGGAACCACAAAGTAGGTTAAGAATACCTCGTATTAATAGCATTTATCCGGGTTTTCGGCTGAATAGGTTTAGATAAATGACGATCGATAGCAACTGCATATTTTTTTTGTTTATTATGATTGAATATGGGTCTGTAAAGAAGAGTATGCAGTTATCCATGACACTCACATGGTGGCAAACGACAAGGAAACGTCCCTCTTGATAATTATTAACTATATTAACCTAATTTTAGAGTCTTATACATTTATTTATCATATTTTTAATAAAGAACATTTTATATCCAAAAAAAAATACAAAACATATTATATTAAAAATAGAACACCACCGGCTGCGGAATCCCATGACTCAAACAACCAGTGGTCAGGGCTGCAGAGATAGGAAACTTCTCACGATGCGTGCGGTTTCTAGAATAACTGCCTTTTGTATCGGGCCCTTAATCCAACTGTTTAGCGAGAGCTTCTTGAGATGTTGGTCGAAACTCTTCGCTATCAGTCCATTCACCGATACGATTATCGGTATAATGGTAGTCGATTTCATACGCCACATGGCGGTAACCTCGTGAGCTAAATCTAGGTATTTTAACAATTTTTCCTTTTCATTATTGTTATCATTATCAATTACAATACTTATGCTGTGTTCAATTTTAAAGTAGAAATTATTATTTTTTATCGAAATCAGTGATTTTTTATTTTTATATTTGAAAAATAACAATGAATGCAAATATTACTTAATACTCAATGGATGTACATAATTCAAAACGATAGGCGGAGATTACGGATATCGTTGTAGGTTTAGGGACCGGGTTTTTTTTTTGTTAACGCGGGGAATGCGTTTATGCACTTCGCCGTCCGTGCTGCGGGGGCAGCAGGGACGGTTTCGTGTGGGACTCCCGGCCTAGGAACAAGACCGGCCTACCCACTAAACCCCGCGGTGTTCTCCTACGCCCAACCGGACCGTGGCATCTACGTTAGTTTATCCACGGCCTTTAGGGACCGGGTTGGACGTCTCTCGATTCTTCTATTAAACATTCTGTAACTACTCAATTTCTACGAATACGTCGTGCGGCAATTGTTTGGAAATATATCATTTTTTATATGTTCTTTGTTTTTCTTATTTCTTACTTATATTGTAAATGTGAATGTTTAGGCGCATTTTTTACCTAGGTATCTACAGAACGGCTCATCGAGTGTCGCTTAATTTGGCATAGATGTAAAGCATAGTCTGGAATTACACATAGGCTACGATTTAATTTTTTTTTAATTCCGCGCGGACGGAATAGAGGAAAAAGCTATTTTAATCATAAATATTTATTGCACAGTAGTCAATTTACGACTCTGGTTTAACACGACACTTGATATCTCTTTGATGATACGGTATACTAGCGGTCGCCTGCGACTTGTCAGCGCAGAATTATAAAAAATGCCTATAATGTCCATAAATAAGGGCTACCTCTCCTTCACAATCGGCCCTCCTTTTTCTGATATAACCTAGAACAAACGCGGCTTTTCGGACAGACAGAAAGACACTCAAAAACAATTATACATTGATTTTTCGTTATCAAATACAAAGTGTATGAAGTATGATTTTTTGTATTACATACAGACACCCCAATTTTATTATTAATTTAGATAAATTTGAACAAAGCCAAAGTAAATCGATGGATTATAAAGGATTAGTATTTATCGATTGATAAGACGATACTGGACGTGACCGTTTAAGTCAATTACTTATTTTATCGTCGATACAAAGAACAAAGGTAAAATCGAAAAAATAAATTTAAAACAACAGCAATAGCTTCTATAAAGGTGAATATACACTATATATCCTTCTTGCGAATAGAGAATAGTAGAAGCATAGTTTCCAAAGCACGTCTAGTTCGGTACCCTAGAACATATCATAAAGAGGCTCGTTGTTCTGTCACAAGTAAATACTCCAGTCTATGCTCATCTTAAGGATTAGAATTATAGAGGAGTACAAAAAAAACTTCGCACACTCATCAGACGAAACGCGGAATTGTTTCCACTTAACGCCTGTCTTCTTTGTGGTATTACACCGGGCCAGCCGGGCCAATTCGTGCCAAGATGTTAAAGCGGGCTCTACCAATAAGGTAGATTGACTCCATCACACTATGATAAGGTATAAATGTAGACAACTTTTCATAATCAAAGTCACCGTGTTAGGACTACGGGAGTCAGTCAATAGGTCAAATATACCAGCTCATTAACCTCCATATTGTTCTAGAATAATCACTTCCTTTGTTAACGATAAGATAATCAGTATAACTGTTGACGATAGAATTTAAAAGCCTTCTCAAAATATTTTGTAATTTAACTGAACTAAATTGTAGCACTGTATTTTGTTTATTTTCTTTGTATTAATGTTTATTATGTTATATTCTACATCATTTCAATAACTACTATTTGTTATCTGTAAACTACTAACTTATACCAAGGTAGATGTAAATATAGTTGGTAGTTTTTGAATATTAAAAATAAAGTGAATTTGGAGGGTGGTCGGCTCTGGGCAGTCGAATGTCGTCCGTCGAACGTACAGTGCGCACCCATATTGAAAATACTGTGTTTCATTTTGCTGCATCGCCGCCATCCTTTATAATTTTGGTCACTTCGAGCCGCATCTTGAACTGGTTGCATCCCGTGGAGCTTATTGTTTATTAATTTCGCGTGGATTAAACGGTAAACGATGCCAACGACACGGCGACAGCAGCAGGCGTCTGCTTCGGACCCTGCCCCGGAAGCAGCACATCAGCCACCTCGTGGAGCCGATGATATTATTTCGCGAGGAACCCAGGCTGCCAAGGAGGAGACACCGAAGGGACCACCCAGCGCAAACACGTTCACATCGGCAACGGCGAAGAGATCGTGTGCGTCTTCGTCTATCGCTAGACGGAAGCAATTGGAGCTGAAAGCTGAACAGGCGAAGGCCGAGATACGTATGCAGCTTATAAACAAGCAGCTGGAGGCAGATCTAGCACAATTGGAAGAGGAGGAGGTGGCCGATGACGTCACCGAAAGTCGGTTTGTTGCAGACGAGCGTACGAGAGAAAGTGTAAGGGAATGGTTGGACCATAGCCAAGGTGAACCTTGTGCAGCCTTCGAGCCACGGGCTCGGAACCATCCGACGTTCCTGACCACCGAGCAGCTTCCACAGGAGGCTACATCTGACGTCCAACAACTGGCACATGTACTGAAGGAGATGATGACCCAAAGCAGTTCACAGCGAGAGGACAGGCTCCTGAGTCGCCTCGCCACACCACGAGATCTTCCCGAATTCCACGGTGACTATATTGAGTGGCTTCACTTCAAAAACGCTTACGAGGAGTCCACAAAAATATGTAAGTTCAGTAACAGTGAAAACCTGTGGCGGCTGAGAAGATCGCTTCGCGGCGCAGCCAGGGAGGCGGTAGCAGACCTGCTCATCGGCAACACGGTGCCCTCGCAGGTGATGGACACGCTGGAACTGAGGTTTGGACGCTCTGATTTTATTGTACACACAATCACAACACGGCTAAAGAAGCTACCACCATTACCCTTATTTTATCAAAGCAACTTAATAGAATTTTCAACTAAAATAATTAATTCTGTTGCTACATTAAATGCATTGAATAAAGAAGAATATTTAAGAAGTCCAGAATTAATAAATGCAGTTATATTAAAATTGCCCAGCACTTTGCTTAGTAAATGGACAGACTACGCTTACAGCAAACGCTTAGATAATTTACCTAAGCTTACTTTATTAGCTGAATTTCTAAAACAAGAATCGCAGATATTACTAAGCGTTGGAACTATTCCATTAGATAATTATAACAGTCAACAGATAGATACCAAGACACGAAAAAGACACAATGTATTTAACTTGAGTACTACAGACTATAACGCTAATGAGATATGCAAATTTTGTAATAAATCCGTACATAAATTAACGGATTGTCGAATATTTCGGCGTGCATTACGGCGAGACAGATGGAACTTTATAAAATCGCAAAGACTTTGCTTCGTTTGTTTACAACGACGGCACAGCGCCGCCTTGCAATGCAATGCACCGCCATGCGACGTCGATAACTGCGGACTTCCACACCATCGCTTATTACATTTTAATAAACCAGCTGTGCACGCGCCGGCCGACGCGCGAGCCGCCGCTCGCCCGCCTTCGCCCGCGCCGCCTAGTCAGCGCGCACCGCCCGCTCCGCCGGAGTTCCCGCCGGCGCAGTCGCCGTCGTCCGCCGCGGTGGACACGGTGGCCCACCTAGCTGCGGGATCCAGAGCAGCGCGCGACGAAGTGTTGTTAAAAGTGGTGAGAGTAAAATTACGCGGTCCGTCCGGTGTCGAACTTATAACGCATGCCTTACTGGACGATGGCGCCTCGGTGTCAGTGATAGACGCGAACCTAGCCGACCAGTTAGGCCTAGTGGCTAGCGAATCTAGTGCGGTAAGATTCGTCGACGCATTCGGTATAGAAGTGTATCAAGCGGACACGCCTAAGGTTACGGTAGACATTAGCAGTACAGATAGTAATCATTTTTATAATTGTAAAATTCAATTTCGTAAAGTTTCAAAGCTTAATTTACCTATGCAAAATTTGTCTGTTATAAATAACATTAATTGTAAACATTTAACAAGTATAAAGGACTATGTCTGTAAAGAAAATGTAATTCCGAAATTGTTAATAGGCGAAGATAATTATCATGTTATTGCACCATTACAAATAATATGTGGCAGCAAAAATGAACCTTATGCAACTCGATGCAAGTTAGGTTGGTCTATTCACGGCTACAGCGGTCGCACTCACACTCCCGCCTCTCGTAGTATCTTCTATCTCGCTCACTCCGACGGCGAGGTGCTTAACGATTTAATAACAAAATCTTTCGCTATAGATTCGATTGGAATATCGCCGTTACGCCGTGAGAATAAAGATCACATTCGTGCGGTTGATATTTTAGATAAATCTTTTCGTAAAGTAAATGAACAATACGAAGTTTGTTTACCATTTAAGAGTGACGAATTTATTTTGCCTGATTCCTACGATAATGCTTTGTCTCGAATGATTTTATTAAACAAAAAGTTTAACAACAATAGGGATTATGCTAACAGGTACAGCAGAGAGATTAAAAAATTGTTCGACGAAGGTTATGCGAGGGAAATTAAAGGCAGCGAGCAGTCATCTGGTAATGTCTGGTATTTACCACACTTTGGTGTACAGAATCCTAATAAGCCTGGGAAGTTGCGATTAGTGTTCGACGCAGCAGCTAAGGTCAGTGGTTTATGTCTTAATGATTTTTTGTTAACAGGTCCCGACTTATATAATTCTTTGTTTGGAATAATGTTGCGGTTCCGCACACATCCAGTGGTTATCATCGGCGACATAAAGGATATGTTTTTACGGATAAAGATTAGTCCTGATAATCAACATGTCTTTCATTGTTTACATTCAACGACTTCTATAGGTGAGGCAATTGAATTAATAAAAGATATTACTGAAATTCACGGACACGCCGGCTTCAACATTCGCAGTTGGACGAGCAACAGTAAACAGGTAATAGATTGTTTACCCAATGAGGCATTAGCTAACAGTGCGATTCAACTTAAAGACGGCGCCACAGATGTAGTCGAGCGCACATTAGGATTGATGTGGCATCCCTCAGATGACACATTTTTATTTAATATTTCATTTAACCGCTTATCGGATAATGTACTTAATGGTAGTGAACCACCAACTAAAGCTAAGATGTTAAGTTTAATTATGTCTGTATATGACATGCAAGGATTTATAACGCCTATAACAATAAAGGGTAAAATAATTTTACAAAATGTACATAGGAGTGGAGTAGGCTGGAATTGCCCTATCCACATAAAAGATTATGAATGTTTTTTAAAATGGCTTAACGATTTAAAATTATTAGCACAACTTCGTATCCCGCGTTGGTACAACAACACAGGTACGTGGTCTGATTGTTATCCCCAAACAGAATCAGGTGATCCTGATCGAATAATCAACACCGAGATGCATATATTTTGCGATGCCTCATTGAAGGCATATGCAGCTGTTGTTTATTGGCGATTTATTCGCACGGATGGTAAGGTGTCTGTTTGTTTTGTTACTAGCAAAAGTCGAGTGAGCCCGTTACGACCGGTGTCCGTACCCCGGTTGGAACTCCAAGCAGCACTGCTAGCTGCACGTTTGGCGAGCACGGTCCGGACGGAGCACACCGAAATCACACCGACTAGACGGTATTTTTGGACAGATTCTAAAACTGTCCTGCAATGGATCAGAAGCGATCCACGTACGTTCAAACCGTACGTTGCCCACAGGTTGGGCGAGATAGACGAGCTGACACGAGTCATTGAGTGGAGGTACGTACCAACAGGTTTGAACGTAGCAGACGTTGCCACGCGTGAGGACGCGCCACCGCTCACTATTGACAACCAGTGGTTCCAGGGACCAGCATACCTCCGACTTCCCGAGGTGAGTTGGCCCGCAGACCTATGCAGCTCAGAAGAAATATCCGACGAGGTAGCTTGCGAGCAACGTAGTGTTAACACTATCAGTGCTAGCGCTCCAACTAACCTCGCTTCGTGTTTACCAGATGAAGAAAGGTTCTCATCCTGGAAACGATTGCTCCGCTCGACAGCCCGAGTACTTATGTTTGTAGATAGATGCCGCAGAAGAAAGGTAACTTTTAATGTAGATCTTATGTCAAGGGCAGAAGAACTATTATTAAAAAAAATCCAGTCAGATAGCTTTTCTTTGGAAATTGATTCTTTCAAGCAAAAGAAAAGTGTATCTAAGAATAGTCGCTTACTTAAATTAACTCCGTATTTGGATGAACGGCACATTTTACGTGTAGGAGGTCGAGTTGACAAGGCAGACGGGGTAAGTTACAACGCATGTAGACCAGTCATAGTTGATGGTCGTCACAAGATTACCCAACTGATCGTCGAGGATTATCATCGACGAGCCCTGCATGGGGCGAACGAGATGGTGGTTAACGAAATCCGCCAGAAGTATTGGGTAATAAGGCTACGCCCCACAGTCCGCGGAGTCGCGGCACGTTGTCTGTTCTGCCGGCACAGACGAGCAGCGCCACATGCGCAGCGCATGGCAGACCTACCACAGGTACGTCTCCAGCACCACAGGCGTCCATTTTCCTCAGCGGGCGTTGGCTTTTTCGGACCGATGGAGATCACCTCAGGTAGAAAACGAGTTAAACAGTATGGTGTCTTATTTACTTGTCTAACTATCAGAGCCGTGCACATAGAATTATCCGATAGCTTGTCAACCGATGCGACCATAATGGCCCTACGGCGGATGATTGCACGTAGAGGTACCCCTGAGATCTTGTACTCTGATAATGGAACGAACTTTAGAGGTGCAGATGCCGAGCTTAAGCGCAGTCTCCAGGAGCTGAATTTTGATCGTCTTCAGGACGACGGTTTGGTAAGAGGTATAGAATGGCGTTTTATTCCTCCAGGTGCTCCGGAAATGGGTGGCGCGTGGGAGCGATTGGTTCGCTCTGTCAAAACGGCATTGAAGGTTGTACTTAAGGAACGAGCACCCCATTTCGACACTTTGCCTACTCTGATGTGCGAAGTGGAAGCTTTAATCAATAGCCGACCCATAACTCATGTTTCCACAGATCCTAATTACCCAGAAGCTTTAACTCCTAACCATTTTCTAATAGGTACATCGTCGAGTGGAACTCCTTACGGTAAGTACGATAACGGTGACCTTTGTAATTTAGGCAAGCGTTGGCGAGTAGCACAGAGACTTACAGATATGTTTTGGAGTCGTTGGTTAAAAGAATATCTCCCAACATTATTACCTAGGCAAAAATGGAATAGCGAGGCAAAAGCATTATCAGTAGGTGATTATGTATTGATAGTCGATCCTCAATTAGAACGCGGGTCGTGGAGGCATGGCGTAGTGAGTGCGGCCCATGCCGGCGAGGACGGCAGAGTGCGTTGCGTTGATGTGCGAACGCGCACGGGCGTGTTAAAGCGTCCAGTTACTAGAGTAGCATTGCTTGATGTATAGGTATGGAGTGCTGAGGAGTCAGCACTAGGGGGCGGTGTTGACGATAGAATTTAAAAGCCTTCTCAAAATATTTTGTAATTTAACTGAACTAAATTGTAGCACTGTATTTTGTTTATTTTCTTTGTATTAATGTTTATTATGTTATATTCTACATCATTTCAATAACTACTATTTGTTATCTGTAAACTACTAACTTATACCAAGGTAGATGTAAATATAGTTGGTAGTTTTTGAATATTAAAAATAAAGTGAATTTGGAGGGTGGTCGGCTCTGGGCAGTCGAATGTCGTCCGTCGAACGTACAGTGCGCACCCATATTGAAAATACTGTGTTTCATTTTGCTGCATCGCCGCCATCCTTTATAATAACGTATTTTAAAAGTACTTATGTGGTCACAAAGCGAATTTTTATTATTACAGACAAATTAAAAATGTTCAAAGGAAGTATTCTGCAGGATAATTGGTCTTGAAGGCAAAGAAAAAAAAATAATTAATGTCTCACCATTAAAACACTTCAACGGTCCTTACCGCGACCACTTAAAGCGCTTTGTTAGCTATAAGCAGGAACGAGCATTGTTTGCGCTTTCAAAATATAAATGTGTCGTGTACCATATTATAAAAGTTTTTCAAGGTCATAGCTACACCGGTGACCTACATATAAGAGGTGACAATTAAACTAAAATACACAATCTAGTTTATTAATATCTATAAGAAGAAGATAGATAAAATTAGGCCTCCGTAACGAAGAGAGAGTGCAAGACGCAACGCGATATTGCTTCCACTTGAAACTTGTCTTCTATGTGGCCATTCATGGTTTAACCGGCCCATTCCTGCAACAGACATTGTTTTTACTGGCGTCTACCACTGTTATGATTCAGTCCTACAGCCACAATGGAATGTTACAAACATGCCAACCCATATGCTCGTAAAAATATTCTCCTGTCAGTCAGGCTCTAAACACTATTCTCCTCTTCAATCTGGCGGGTAGTAAATAAGACAACGTTCCTGTAATATTTTAATAGACTTCAAAGTTTGAAAGATCATTAGCAATTCTTAAAGAACACTTACGAAGTAAAGAAATCACAACATTAAAATTTTTCTTTAGAGTTAAACTTCCCTAACTTTTTAATTATTTAGTTATGTCTTTGACTTCGATGTTTTTTCAAGTGCTTTAAAAATATCATTGAATAAATTAATTATGGATTTTAAATCGTATTACTATGGAGCTTAATTGTTAATTAGACTAATTTAAATATTTAATTTCCCTACAATATTTTCTTATTACCTTAACAGTGGTAGACGGCAGCAACATCTGACGCACGAATTGGCCGGCTCCAAGTCAAATACCACGATCACACAGAAAATAACGGTGAAGTGGTAGCAATTCTGCGTTTAGTCTGAGTAAGCGTGTCGGAGACCTAATTTTAGTCTCCTTTCCCTTCCGATCCGCTATGGAAAAGAGTGAGAAAAGGTTAATTTGACAGAAGAGAAGACGCATCCTTCGTCGATTAAATCACATTTATTTTTAAAAGTTTTGAAAGATAAACAATAGTCTATTTTTGTGCTTAAAGTTCTAAATCTACAAAGCCACAGTAATAAAAGTTGAAGTCTTTTAAAAAGTAATAAAATAAAACGATTGTAGCTCAGTTCGAATTTTACGTCTGCAAATGAAGTCTCAAAGTTTTCACAGTGGTAGAGCCCGCTTTAACATCTAAGCACGAATCGGCCCGGCTCGCCCGGTGAAATACCACGACCACACAGAAGACAGGCGTCAAGTGGAAGCAATTCCGCGTTTCGTCTAATGAGTGTGCGTCCCGGAGGCCAAAATTAGTCCTCTTTCCCTTCCTGTCATATTTCTTATAAGGAAAGGATGGGAAGTGAAAGCGGACTTTCCGGATGAGAGGATGCATGGAAAGGGAAAATATTTTCTTTCTGTGCATCCTCTCCTCCGTCGATTAAAGGTAGGCAACGCATATGCAATTGCGTATGTCTATGGGCAACGGTCACTTCGCTATTCTAGCGATTTCAGGTGGCCGTTCGCTCGTTTGCCACCTTGTGATATTAAAAAAAAAGCATCATTAGCTATTTCATCCGGACAATTAATGTATTCAAAAATAACGTTCTATTCGTTAAGCGTTCCTTAATATTGCCTGATAAAAATAACGCGAATACTAAAATCTAACTTAGTATTATATATGCGGAAGTTTATGTGTGTATCTCCGGAATGGCTCAACGGATGTTGATGAAATTTAGTCCAGATGTAGAACATAGCCTGGAAGAACACATAGGCTATGTATTTTTCTTTTAATTCCACACTAGGAGTTGGGCGACAGATATTAAGTAATAATTAAACTCTACATCCACTCTAGGATATATCATAGTATTTTTAACCCCTAGATCGAAACCCCCACTGATCGTGAATCACTAGGGGGTCGGAAAATAATTGTACAGTTGCGTGGTTATAGAAGAGTATTATGAAAAAGTAGCTTTTATATTCGTTTTATTTCTAATCAATTTATGTTCGTCAACAATAATTTTTGAATTTAACGATAATTATATTCTGATCGACTTTCTTAAGTGTTCCTAAAACAACTAACGTAATACTAAAATGTAGTTACGTCGCAAATGGCACATTATTCTATATTAAAACCTCACGGCCTACAATTAAGATAAGGAAGGGTAAAATCTGAGTCGTGTGATAGTATAAATAATTTTAGTTCAACAATCATCCTGGCAATAGGGAATAAGGGACAATCGTAACGTAAAAGGGACTATGGGTAAAGAACTAGCTATGCCCGCGACTTTGTTCACGTAAAAAACTGTCGTCTGCATATTTAATTATTTAGGCTATTTTACAAAACATTCACCTAAAACTTTCATATACATACCACACTAACTTTCATCCCCTATTCCCTATTATTGTTTTTTTAACTAATAATAAACATCTGTCTATCTGAACTTTCTAATTTCAGTTTTTAGAACAGTCGACTCCGTCCGCGGGGAATTAAGCAAAAAATTAGTAACCTATGTGCTCTTCCAGATGCTCTACATCTATAGCAAATTTCACCAATATCCGTTAAGCGATTCTGGAGATACCTTCTAACAAACATCAATCCATCCATACATCAAAACATTCGCATTTATATTATAATATTACTAAGATAAGAAGTAAAATTACCTACAGGTTTATTGGTGATAGAGTTTTGTAATCTCGGACTTATTAGTTCAAGTTAACTCAAGGTCAATTCCAAACCCCATGTTGTTAGACCCCTCGTATATCTACCTACGAAGAAGTCAGTGCGCTCCAGGGAATTGTTTATTTACGGCACGAAGGTAACCTGGTGAAAGTTAAAAGGTCATAAATATCGATGGAAAACAATCGTAAACTTTTTTATGATTCGAACCACACTTTTTATTTAACTCACATGTAAGAAAAAGAAAATATTTACAGAAAAGTCTCATATTAATAAGTTAAAAAATTATTCTTCTTCTTTTGATCGGAAGAAGTTTAATATTTGTTTATTAAATTGTGTTCAAAAACTACCACGAAAATTAGCTGTCGCCCTCCACTCGACGTAGCCTTTATGTTCAACCAGGCTATGTTCTACATCTATGCCAAATTTCAGCGAGACCTATGCAGCCGTTCTGGCGAAACCTTCCAAAGAAAATCCATCCATGAAAACTTTCGCATCGAAACATTTGCAATTTTATAATTTATTAGTAAGGTTTAAATTAACAATATTGTTTTCGTAATTGAAATCGTAACCTTACCTTTGACATGGGATAAGTAAATGACACCTCATTGTTCAATCAGAAGCTACAGGAGGTCTGACTAACAATGACATATCTGTATGACACATCGCAGTCAGAGAATTAAATTCCCTACCCACTTAGGATCGAATATCGTACAACAAACTGTCATCATAACAGCTATAATTTAGCAGGTATTTTATTATTTGTATAATTACCTGCAAACTATATCTGTGCAAATGGGTAGGATATATACGTCCTTGACTGTATATCTAATACTAATATTCGCCAACTTCAATTCAGTCGATACAGTTTTTAAAGATATCGTAATAATCGTAATAACCAACAACCTTGGAATTTCAAAACACCTTTTGTTTTGATCAATTTGCTACATATACAGGAAGTTCAAAAAATCTGTGTTCCATTGTGTTGCCAGTACGTCACACAGCTCGTTGAGCAGTTTTATGGCCACACCGACCTTCTGACATCAGTTAACAACGTATTACTCATAAGGAGCCAAATTAATTAATTGAATCATATATTCTAATACGGGAAACAATTAACATATTGCCTGTATGCTTTTTTCATATATGGATACATATTAAAACAAAATAAATAAAATTGCACTGTCTATTTGTAATGTTGAAAAAAATATTAGGCAAACATGACGTATTTATGTCCAGTGCAATCGATAGTAAAAAACAAGTACAATGAATGACAAGAAATTGCTAATTAACAAACGAAAGATCATAAGAAATTGTACAATACTAATCTAATAAAATCTCATAATTTATTGTTTAGTTGTTTTGACTTCAGCAAGTTAATATAACGTACATGCCAGTACCTGGCATTTATTTTGGCACATCGGTAACAAGAGTACTCTTGAATCATACGTGCCAACTCAAGCTTCGACTACTATTCATACATACAAACGTGCTCTATCCAGGTCACTTAGATAATAAAAGAGTACGTATATGTTTTAATACACAGAAATCAAGTAGTTTCCATTTTAATAGCGTCCTTTCAACGTTTTATTTAGGCCTAATGTGGGTGTTCGGGGTCGGTCGCATGAGTAGACTCCTTGGAGTATTCCAATATAGCAGACCAATTTATTAGATATTTAATAAAATCACGTACCCATTACGTGGAAACACGGAAGGTTATTCTTCAATCTATTTATAGATAAACGGGTAAGCAGAATCAAAAATTGTATTCAATCCTTAATAAAGACCTTAGTTGTTACTAATAGTATGAAGTCGCGGCAGCAGGGCCGACGTCAAGGCCGTGGAAAGTGAGGCGACCACTTGGCGCTGGGCTGAAAGGGGCACCACAAGTCCGCAAATGTCAATCCCTGTGAGATCTTGTAGTCAATAAAGGGTCATGATAAAAAAGAAAGATGCAAAATCTCTGCAAGGGCGCCAGTAGAGCTAAAACTGTTACCGCACGGACAATACTTAGTATTAAAAATAGTCAAAAGCTGGAAAAAAATTACAGTGGTAGAGCCCGCTTTAACATCTTCGCAAGAATTGGCCCCGCTCGCCCGGTGAAATACCACGACCACACAGAAGACAGGCGTCAAGTGGAAGCAATTCCGCGTTTCGTCTGATGAGTGTGCGTCCCGGAGGCCTAATGTAGTCCTCTTTCCCTTCCCACCCTTTTTCTTATCAGGAAAGAATAGGAAGTAGAAGTAGACTTTCCGGATGAGAGGATGCATGGGAAGGGAAAATATTTTCTTTCCGTGCATCCTCTCTTCGTCGATAAAAAAAGTATGTCTATGGGCAACGGTCACTTCGTTATTTCAGCGATTTCAGGTAGCCTCTCGCTTGTATGGCACCTTGTAATATAAAAAAAATCTTTTTAAGTTAGGAGATTAAATGTAAATATTAAATATATTACCAATAGTCATATTATAAATAAACAATAGTTAATAAACAGTTATTTATTCAATCCTTGTGTCCACATATACGGCGCGGCGTCGACCCATATTGGGGCACAAAATTTTATTGTCATCCCCACTGTTATTGTTCCCTTCCGTAAAGATATATTTATGTATTGCATTATGAGATACTTATCATATAATATGATGTACTTTATATAACTGTTATAGTTATTGTTATATGTGGCCCGTCTAATTGAATATGTTATTCTGTCTATTTCTAACAATGCTGACCTTACCGCGAACTGAACTGCAGTGACACGTATAGTTTTTGTTTTTCTTTGTTTTGTCGAAGAGAAGGAAAGAGACGACAATATGTATTACAGTCGAACTCTGCAGTACGACTCTTCTGATTAAATACAGTCGAACCTGGATAGGCGAGAAACCTCTACAAGTGAGAGAATATAGTAGGAGTAGGACATGTATATTGTAAATACGAATGTTTGGGTGAATGGATGTTGGCAGATATATACAGAACGGAACAACGGATCTCAATTAAATTTGACATAGATGTAGAACAAAGTCTGGAAGAACACATAGGCAACTGATAAAGTTTTTTTGTTTTAATTCGGTGACGACGAAGTCGCGTGCAACATCTAGTAGTTAAACATAATTCTGACTAGTCTTTTCGATCAGGGTGCTAGATCAAAGTTAAGCAAAAAGTTAAGATACTGTAATGTTTAAATACATAAATAATTAGTTTTATCTGTCTATGACGCAGAGTTGTCCTTAGTTTCAACATTTGTAACTGAACGGCCTTTTACAAATGCCTTAATGGTGTAAAGATGGGAAATCCCAAAAACATATCGACTCAAGGTTTTCTTGCAATGCGTATCCATTTCAAATGTTTCTGTTTTACTAACATTTGACGTAAATGAAGCCTACAAGGATTTATGCCATAAAATCCAACAAAACACATAAATTAATAATTAAAATAATCTACAGTCAGGGTCTTCTTAACCCTTATTTTATCGGATAATCACATGATGTTGTTTTCTAGCGTTGTTTACAATTCAAGGGAAAGTTAATTATGTTTATGCACCCAAAGAAGTACTATTTTTTCTAAGTTCACTAAAACAACACAATTTCACGGACAATTTTCTTTTTAAAAGTAAAAGATGCATTTTTGTTTGAAGGTATCTCCAGAACGGCTGCATGGATCTCGCTGAAATTGCCATAAATGTGAAATAAAGTCTGGAAGAAAACTTAGTCTGCTAATAACTCGCGGGCGACTTCTTAAAGTTGCATAAAGTTGTTAAATAAATAAATGTATATATGTATATACAAACTTCACTCCCTTGGCTTTCGCAAAAACATTAAACTAAAAAGACACATGAAATTGTTGTTGTCCTTTTACAATTTCCCAAATCCTGGTTTTTATAAACATATAGAAAAAAAAATAAAATTACGTTGAGAGTGTAATTATGCGTCAGAGAGCGTTCGCGTAATGCCCGTCCGTCAAACTATGTATAAAGGCAACATGACTTGCTTCGGCTGACCCATTCATTTGCGTGACCCTATAGTGATACAAGTGAAATAAAGATTTAATAATTTTATTATTATTTCATAATTATATTCGTAATTTATAATAATGAATCCTTTGGTGAGTTATTTTAAGATTTTAAATTGACGTTAATAAATAATTTGTGTTAAAAATTTATTGAAAATTTTGTTTATTTTTGTTGCGAAAGTGTTTATTAATTTATATAATTTGCATAATTTATATAAAATAAATATTCATAATTAACGCTTTATAGCAATGGAATAGAATTAACTAAACTAAAATTACGGTTTCAAACCTAAGACTCGAGGCTTGAGCATTTAGACCCACACATTTTAGAACAATCATCGTGTTTTTTTTATGTATCATTTTTTTTTTATTTATGGGAAAGCTAAGACATTTCGATTATCTGTAGATGATGACACTCATAACCTTAAATATTCGCTAATAAATTATTAAAAAAGGTACTATATGACGTCATGCCAGCTCTGCCTTACCATGACCCACTTCCCCCAACATATGTTTACGTAATAATCCCTGCTTTTGGGTTTCGATTTTATCTTTGTTGATGCCGACCTCTATTAAATTTGCCTGTTGTTCTTATTTTTATATCATATCCATACTGAGGATGTTCATAAATTAAGTCGGATAAAAAATACCTAATACGCGTTAACAGAGAGAACTTCCTTTATATTAAAAATCGTTTTAATTTGAAATTAATTTAAATAGAAAATAAACGACACAAATAAAAATATAAAATAAAATTGGTTTTGGTTCGGTTGTAAATTAATTTATATTTTATATAACACTTTAAAGCCCGCTACCCACGTTCAGTGTTCACTGAACAAACGAAATGTACAGATAAAAATGTGCGAGTGTAGGCATTATTTCAACTGTCATTTAACTGTACAGTAAGAGTACGGTAACACAGATGTTCAGTCGGACTGTTCAGTTAAAACTGAACGTCTATAGCGGCCTTGACATGTGTAATTTGTTTTCAGCATTTACTTCTATTACCATGCGTACTAGCCGTAAGTATTACAGGCTCAACGAATGATTATAGCAGTCAAGGACGAAGCGGTGGAGGATACGGTCTACTAAGACCATACCCAAATTACTCAGGTTATAACGGAGGCTACAATGGATACAACAGTGGGTACGGAGGGTATGGCGGTGGATATGATGGATACAACTCAGGGTTCGGCGGCTCCGGGATAGGATACCCTGGACAAGGATATCCCGGTAGCTATCCTGGTAATTTATAATAATATTTATTTATTGGTTGTTATATTAAGTATTCACAAATATACACTTTTGGTACAAAATAGCAATAAAATATTTCGTTAAACAAAGTGAACGTAACTCTATCGAAATCTATTTAAGTTAGTTAAAAACTTTGTAATATTTTTTCAATATTATGGAAGTATCAGGTTTTATATTACTACATCCTGCACGTGAAGTGTTCACCTAAAAAAAAACTCATTTTTAATTGTCAGATTAGACTACTTAAACTTTGATCATTATCTAATTTAGATTAATGTTTGCAACCGGTTTTAATTTTATAATTATAAAAACGAGTACTTCATACGCCAAAAAATATGAATAACGCGTTCGAGACATTCTTATTCAATCATTTTTATTTAAGCGACATAATATGTTATTATTCTTTGAATTATTGATTAGAAACTAGATACAGTAAAGCATGAGAAATTACGTAGTAAAATGTCATGTAGTTCAAAATGTCTATATTTCATTTACAGTGGGTTTTTAAATCCAAAATACCCGTTTAAAACATATTGTTATCTCTGTGATGTCAAAGAGTTATGACGAAATGTTTTATACAGAGATTTTGATATCAGAAACCCACGGTTAAAGACTGCCTTATTTTTAAACTGCGATTATTAATATTTATATGGGTTAATTATTATTAGGCGGTTACGGCGGATACCCAGGCTATTCCGGCGGACCTTACGGAGGTGTGTACTTATTTCTTCTCCTTCTCAAAAGCCTATTCAGTGACACTAGTAATAGTAAGTTCACAAAGTACATTACCATTCTCAGCTTATTGCACTGTAACATGCTATTAATCATTAAAATACATGTATAGCTTAACTAGGATTTAAACCAGTCTTTCCCAAAGTGGGCGTTAACGCCCCCTTGTGGGCGCTGCAGGTCTCAAGTTGCGGGTTATAGTAAAAGTTTCGTTTAGAATTTTCCGTTAATATACATATATAGGTCACAATAGTTGATTGATTTAATTTGAAGTTATAGCGGTTTTAAATATGTGAAAATATGGGGGCGCTAAAAAAATATTTATTTTCAAAGTGGGCAGTAGACTAAATAAGTTTGGGAACTGATTTAAACCTTATCAAGAGGGCGCTTCAATCGCCTTCTTTTTTACATCACCCTGTAGTAAAAGGAGTTTGGTTGTTTTTCAAGAAAATGGTTTCGTGCTATATATTTTTGACAAGCTATGTGAACGTAACACGTTTAGTTAACTAACTTACTTAATTTATAACAAGTTGTTATGAAGTCGATAGAAATTAGATTAGGTATCATTTATTTATATCTAGTGGTTACGTATTGTTGGCAATTCGTCCATAGTTCTTTTAAGTTTGTATTTTACTAGGGCTTTGTCAAATGCCTAATCATTATAAGTAAAGATTTTATACAAAAATATAACTTTATGCCCTTCTCTTCTTAACTTTAACTGTGTCTTTTACTATTATCTTCCAGACTATGTTCTACATTTATGCCAAATTTCAAAAAGATCCGTCGGGCCGTTCTAGAGGTCCATCGTCACAATCTATCCATCAAAACTTTAGCATTTAAAATATTAGTAAGATTATTTTACTATTTTAGGTAATCGTCCTTACAACAGACCAGGTTACGACGGAAGACCCGGTTACAATTATCAGTCCGGTTACCAGGGTTACAGACCCGGTTACAACCAGTACAGACCCGGTTTCGACCGTCCCTACCAGACCAATGGATATTTTGACGGAGTTCGTGATGGATATGACAACTTTGGACTGTTAGGAAGAAAAGTGTCAGAAATTAAGAAAGATGACGCTTGATTTCAAATAATTAAGTTTAATTTAATTTGTATTATTTCTACTTTATAAGATTTTTATTAATATAGATTTTTAATTCAATGTGACTGCTTAATACAACTTACCTTAATAAAACTTATAAATATGTTGTATGTATACAAAGGATGAGAATAGAATGTGGAAGAGGAATTTTTTTTGTACAGTCAGCTGTGAAAATGTGAACACTAGCAGTTGATTGCGTCTCCGTCCGCGCGGAATTGAAATAAAATTAATTAGTATCCTACGTGTTCTTCCTGACTATGTTCTACGTCTATGCCAAATTTCACCCGCTCTGAAGATACCTTCAAACAAACATCCATTCATCTAAACATTCGCATTTATAATATTAGTAAGATTTACAAAACATCAGAAGAGTGTATACGCCTTCAGTTTCGAAAATGCATAAGCACTTTTTCGCCAATAGCAGATATATATAGAAGAAAGCATAATGACAGATACATGCATAAATATTTTTAAAAACTAAAAGCGTGTACAAGTATGTGAATCTATATAACTGTATACATATTAATGCAGCTGACTGTACTGTATGTAAAAATGGAATACAACATAATTAAGATATAATTTTATTATTTAACAATTATAATAGAATTAATAAAATAATTTAAACATACAATAATAAAGTTAAGAACCACTGAACCAATCAGAAGTCATTGATGTAAAGAATGATGCTGCACCAGATCTGGCGTTCGCAAAGTTGATTGGCAGAGAACTGGTCATCAGGTCGGATATATCTGCTTTATTCTTGTTAGGACTTGCTGCAGCCACTGCTTTCTTTTTTACCTGATGAAAAGATAAATCCAAAGATACATTAAAAAGATAAGAAAGATAGTGAAATTATAAACGGATATGGAAATAGATAAATAAATTAATCTTTATAATGTTGTAATAGATAAATTTATTAATACATAAGCGTTAAAAATATTTATGTAAAACTAGTAGTCGCATGCGGTTTCGCCCGCACGACTAAAAAAAACTTTATTAGTAGCCTATGTGTTCTTCCAGGTTATGTACTACATCTATGATAAATTTCAGCGGAATCCATGCAGTCTTTCTGGAGATATCTTCTAACAAACATCCATCCATCCAAACATTTGCATTTATAATATTATTAAGATTTATAATCACAGTTAAATCACACTATTATTATTTTATTAAAATGTTAGAACAGAGGATGCAAACCAATGGCACGCGACACAATATTATGGTGTCACAAATTAAAAAAAACATTATTCATTAGGAAACAAAATGTAAAATAGATTTTATAAGGACGAGCGAACACGGTTGGTTAATAAACTAAGATTATAAAAATATATAAATATTCCATACCAATTGTTGAGATGGAGATATATCGACTCTGTTAAAATGTACATTAAATACTTTTATTATAAAGTCATTATCAGCTCACTATACGTCCCCACCGAGGGGCTCGGAGCCTACCCTAAGTTAGGGGTGATTAAGCCATAGTCAACCACGCTGGCCAAATGCGGGTTGACGTCACACATATCTTTGAATTTCTTCTCAGATATGTGCAACATCACGATATTTTCTTTCATCGTAAGAACATAGGATAAATGTACATATGTAAATCAAAAATCGAAAATTGGTACATGGCGGTATTCGAACCCAGGACCTGCAGATTGCAAGTCAAGTGCTTGACCCCTGAGCTACCGACGCTCGTTCATTATAAAGTAACATAAGTAATTCGCGAGTCTATATGAAAAGCCTTGTTTTGTATCTTATTGTTTGTTGTTTATTTACAGTCCTGGACTAATTTTGATGATAATTGGTAAATACTAACGATGACAGAGGATTTTTTTGTTTTAAATAAAACTCTAGCAAGTAGAATTAAAAAAGAAGCCTATAACATTCCCGCGTGAATCAGGTACTTTCCAGTCAAAGTCTCATCAAAATCGGTCCAGTCGTTCCGGAGATTAGCCGGCACAAACATGGCCTTGCGAGTCATACAGACGGACAAAAATTTTAAATATTGATTTTTCGGTACATAATGTGTTCACGAAACATATTTTTTACGACATAACTTACAGATACTCCAATTTTATTATTATGTACAGATGCCTGTAGGTTAAAAAGTTTTTTTTTCTTCAAAATAAGTAGATTTCCACTAACAGCGTATCACTTACCACTTTATCTTGTTTCTTGTGCGGTGTGGGTGTAGCCACTGGTAGCAGTGTGAACCAGTGCGCGTCTGCTGCAGCCAGCAGATGCGCGGCCTTGTCCCCCGAGCCCCCAGACACGAGGGCCCGGCTGCCCAGGATGCCGCTCAGCTGACCGTGGTGCAGCACTACGCTGCCCAGCAATGTCTGCAGGTGCACATTTCATACAATTAACCCTTGTTACTTGAAATATGCGAACTTTGGCCTCCTCCGACCGAATCGCGCAAATAAACCATGATTTTGACAAAAATAAACTTTATTTCTCATCAACGTTTCTTCCGTGGACAACTTAAAGGGAAGTTATCTTACTAATATTATAAATGCGAATGTTTGGATGTATGGATGGACGTTTGTAAGAAGATATCTCCAGAAATTTGGTATAGATTTACAACATAGTCTGGAAGAACACATAGGCTTTTTAAGTTTTTTTTTTTAATTCCGCGTGGATGGAATCTCTTTACAACTAGTAAAAAATGAAAATTAGATTTTTTTATGTCAGTTAGTTATTCACTTATGTTTACCTGTACTCTTTGCACCGATCGCTTCAAGTTAGTCTGAATGTATGGATAAAACACGTCATAGTCAAACGGATCAATCTTCTGCCTTAAAAATTCGCAAATATCCTGCGAAAACTCCATACATTTCTTGTTCTCTCTTGGAACCATAAGCAGCGTCAAATGTCTCACATCCATCAACAATTGAAGCGCGCATCGTTGATTTATATCGCTCTCTTTCTCTCTTATGACTGTATTGTAATGTGCGAGAAGGATAGATGTAACTTTCTCAACGAATGCTGTGTGAACTTCGTGAGGTAACGTATGTGGGACAACTTCGTCTAATATACGACTAATAGAGTACAAAAACTCTTGTAATTTAAGAGAAGGTCCCGCGGGGACTTTTATAATCGACTCTATTGAATTCCCTTCGTCGTCCTTTTCTTGTATCTGTATTACGTCCCATTGCTAAAAAAAAAATACGTGGAAAATCATAATACAGTCGAAACTGGATAAGCGAGAGTCTAAGAGATATTTTTCTCGCTTATAGAGGTTTCTCGCTTCAGATCTCTCCAAAAGAAATATTAATATGCAAAACATAACAATCTTACTAATATTATAAATTCGAATGTTTAGATTGATGGATGGATGATTGTCGGAAGGTATCTACAGAACGGCTGAACGGATCTTGATGAAATTTGGCATACATATAACCTGGAAGCATAGACTATTAGTTATGTTTTTTTTAATTCCACGCGAACGGAGACGCGGGCGACAGCTAGTAAAAGAATAAAAAAATTAGTTTTAGCTTTAATTTTTTTTTCTTACCATCATCAAGTAATCAACATTTGCCTCCAAAGTGAACTCTTGTGGCAAACATTTGATCAAATCTGTCGCCTTCTCCATAACAATGTCCAACCATTTGCCCCAACAATATTGGCAATTCTCCTTTAATACGCCACAAATATCGTTCCAACTCTTTATTGCGTTTTCTTCGATAGTCATATCGTCAGTAAGCTGGTCTTCGGGAATATAGCACTTACGTAGATTAGGCATAAGGTACACTATCGCTTGTATGAATCGAGCCGTGTAAACCGCAGTGGTCTTACGCTGTAGTTCTGTTGATTGTAAAGTCGGCTCTTCGAAGCACGCCTTTATGTATTGTAACATACTAAAAATGTAAAGTAATATAGTGTAACATGCTACATGCTGTAACATTGCACTTAGATAAGCGAGAACTGAATAAGCGAGAGCCATCGTCCGACGGACGACCTCTATAAGCGAGAAAACTTTAAAAGGGAGAAAAATATCGCGGTCTCATGGGTTCGATATAAAGCCGTAAGCCATCGCGTAATTTATCGAATCCCAAATCTATCGTCCACATTTTTTATTGAAAAAAATACATCTAAAAAATTTGGCATAATTTTGGGTAAAAATTATTTTACTGTTCTAGTTAACGTACTAAAATCTTTAAATTATGACAATTTTATTTTAATAAAACATAAAATAATGTTGAAAACTTTACCTTTGTATATTACTATCGGAGACATTTCTCAAATAATTTTGAATATCCTCTCTATCACTGTATATCTGTTGTTTATCATCTTCTTCTTCATAAAACAATAGCTTGTTACTTCTACTTCTCTTCTCCGGGTACAAATACACTTTTAAATCTTCTAGAAGCTTCTGTAGTTCTTCATCTAAACCTTGACAGAGTTTCTCTATGTTTGGAGTGAAACCACGATCTTGTCTTGACATACCTATATGAGAATAGTAAAGGAAAATAGACAACTTTGCATTAAAAACATTTTAAACACGGCTTTTATACAGTTTTCCAAATTTTTAAAAACTTAAGCATATCAATAGACTAATATGTTAATAAGTCAGATTAAATTACAGACGACCCTGCACAAGCGAGAGTTTAAGGTACCGCAATTTTTCTCGCTTATAGAGGTTTTACTAACCCGAGTTTCTCGCTTATGGAGGTCGTCCGTCAAGACCGGACAATGACTTTAGCTTATAGAGAGGAGAGGCAAGTTGGATTGTAGTTAATTTATCCGTCTAGTTGTTTGATTTTTAGACTAAATCTGAACTAAAAGACATCCTTACTAAATGTAACAGTTAGTCACTGGATAGGTAAATCCTTGAAAACAGCTTTTGCGTCATTCTGATTTAAACGCGTCTAATGTTGACAGTTAATTCTATCTCTATTATATATTAGAATCCTCATCACTAACAACCGTTAACGGTAAGGTGATGAAAATCAAATAGGCACAAAATACCTCGTTCCATAACCTATCCATTTATAAAGAATTGTCTTAGAAAC